TCATAGAGTTCTATAATTTTCCTAATGTTGTCCCTTGCATAACAGTATGCTCGGGTTTGAATTTAGTTGTAGTTTGACAGGGATTTACGCCTATTAGGAGATATCTGGGATTGATATGTTCGAACCGTTGGATCGAGTCCATTTCCAAATATGTTGTTCTCCGTACCTCTAGGATTGTGTAGGAACACACGGTTCGAGAATCGGAATCCTGGATACTTCGAACAATGATTTTAGGGTTAAGTACTAAGTCGACGTCGGTCGTGTTATTGTGGGTGATTTGACCGCTCGATCAAGACCAAACTCTCAAGATGAGTTACGTAGACCTTGCTGGACTTATAGAAACGTTCGGGTCGGGAATCAGAGGTGGATTGTGACGAGACTTCTAGGATGGGTTTAACTTTTGGTTGTGGACCAATAGGAATTGTCATTTAACAAATTGAGGTCGTGGGCCCTACGAGCCCAATCGACTTAGATTGTGGGCTTTGTCGGCTCGGTTGACACCATTTAGTAGTTGTATTTGTAATTGGAGGTTTGTTTTAAAATGGTATTACACTATGTGAGATTTATTAAATGTTTATGAGTTACTGTGGAATCGCTTTTACTTTACAAGTATATTATATTATGTTTAATTGTGTAGAGTTTGGAATGGTTTGGTTAACCGAGTTTTGGTGTGAATAAGGAATTAATTAAATGCCTAATTATATGTCGATATTTAAATATATGCTCGGTGGCTTGAAATCGATGAATTGTGGATACTAGTTTACTCAATAGTATGTGGTACATATTTAAATGTAGTTGAGAATAGTTTTGATAGACTATGCATGGTCAAATTCAATTAAGGAAAGTTGGAATTGCTCTTGTCTAGGGTTTCAATGGAGGGTGGGCCGACTAGATCTCGTAGGCAAGGGTAAGTGCTGGGTTAAGACGGCTAGAAATCAGAATTAGAATGGCGGCGATTAAGTTTGTGTGGGAAGATCAATTTGGTGGTTGTGGGCGGCTGTTGATATAGTTGGAGTATACAGTGGGGTGCTAGTGCAGTGGAGCTGAAGAAGATGATGCAGAACTTTGGGGATGTATTAATTATGTTTTTGTTTTTTAAAATTTTTATGTTATTTTATTATTTTACATATTTGATTTGGAATAATTTCAAGCATTTTTAATATTTAATAGTTAAAATTATCAAAATACCAATGCCATGTTAGCAGATTTAACTACTTTTATATGAAAACTAACGAAATGGGGCAACCTTAGTCGTATAATGAAAGTTCAGGGTGAAGATTGAGTCATTTAAAACTTCAGGGGGCAAACTAAGACAATTTGGAAACCACATGAGGTATTTCAACAAATAAGCCTAAAAAAAATTACAAGATAAGGGTAGACTCAGTAAACAAAAACAACTTTCTCACGCTAGATGTCCTCTTTGGTCAACAAAAAATATTTCATTCATTATGTCACTGAATTCACAGTGCAATGAGTGATAAATTAATGATGACTAAGTGAAAGACCACATTTGGGAAGTGTTGGCTAAAGGCCCTCTGATACCTAAGTTAGTTCGATTGAATTCTTGAGAAACAATAGCTAAAAAGGGTACGGAGTTTTCTTTGTGGGGAGAATCAGGTGGGCGGAGCCGTGCGTGGTGGCACTTGGCCGTGTGAGGAGAGAAAGAGATAGGGGCAGCTTGAGAGAGAGAGAGAGAGAGAGAGAGAGAGAGAGAGAGAGAGAGAGAGAGAGAGAGAGAGAGAGAGAGAGAGAGAGAGAGAGAGAGAGAAAGAGGGATTTTAGAACTAGGTTTAGGATTACCTTGTGTGTTGAATGTAGCTATGTATTTATAGGGCTCTAGGCATCTAGGGTTTTTCAAAGAATGTAGAGATTGAGTCAATTAGAGATTTGATTGGGATCAAATTACTAATTGATAATATCCTAAATTAGTGATATTATCTTTTAAATAAAGATAATATCCATATTTTTAGTATTAATTAATTGGCCAAATAAATTAGCTCAATTAATTGACTTGTGAGATATTATTCTTGTCCACATGGCACCTTGTGATTAAAAACCGGATTATTTACTTTCATAAATGGATAAAAGGGGAGTGGAAAAATTAACACCCTTTAATAGAGTTTTGAACATGAGGCTCTAAATTTGGGGCTTCAGATTTTGTGTATGATGTAATTTGATTTTGAAATGAGAAACAAAAAATAATGTTTTGGTTATGGCTACGGAGGCGTGGGTTCAGACCTCAAAAAAGAGCGATTCCCTCTTTTTTTTTCATAACTTAAAATAAATAATTTTTTTTTAAAGAAGCAGAACTACCTGAACAAAAAGTAAAGAAAGAGTAAAAAAGCGGTTCTCTCTGGGCAACGGACAACCAACCTGCTTTATTAATAGGGAGTTTCACTAAAACACCCAAAATGGGGGCTGAAATTATAAAAAAACCCAACACCCAAAACACTTTATAAACACACCAAAAACCTATCATTACACACACTCAAAACCCATTTATAAACACACCCAAAAAATATACAATTGTTGATTTTAGGGTTGATTTTGGGTGTGTTTCTATGTTTGAATAGTGCTTGGGTTTTTTTTATAAATACATGTCTAGAATTGGGTTTATTTATAAATTTGTATTATTAATACTCAATTTTTTAATGTACACAGCCACTGCAATCACGAATCAGAGAGCACCACATGTAAGTAAAATATAATAAACATTATTTAATATAGATGGTCCGGTGGAAACCGGAATTGGAACCTGTATAAACTGGTCCAGTTCAATTTTTTTAATAGTTGTTTGACATTTTGGTACACTCTATTTTTCCCGATTCAGCAATTCATATGCCCACCCTTGGTTTTCCCCGCAAGATTTCTTCGCGTAGGGCCGCAAAATGAGTTGGTTCTTGAGAGAGAGAGAGAAGATTATTTGTAGATATACTAGTGATTTACCTCTAAATTTGTACAAAACTTTTGATTTGCCCCTTATTTATTTTTTATTTATTTATAGAAAATTAAGGATATGTTTTTTTTTTTTTAATTTCCCCCTACCGTCTAAATCCTCAACATTTCATCCAATTTGTTGTTAAATATGAGGGTAAAGTGGTTTTGTACGTTAAAAATAAATAAAAAATTGAAAACTAAAATAAACTCTGTGTGTGTGTGTGTGTGTGTGGAGAAGAAAACCCAAGAGATGGGGGGGTGGCGACCTAGGCTCGAGGGTAAAAAAATAGAAGGAAGGAGGTGAGGGCAGGGGTTTGTGGGGTGGGGGATTGGTTTGAGAGTGAAGGGTGGTGGTCATAGGGAAATGGGAGGAGAAGAAAAACCCAGAGGAGAGAGGGGGTGGACTGGGTTCGGGGGATGAAGGGTGGTGGTCATAGCAAGTCCAAGCTAATCATGCCGCCAAGTCACATTTTTCCAACACCTATTCCATGCCAAACAAAACAGTTTCAGCACTTGCCATATTTCAAACATTCTTCCAGCACCTGCCTTATTTCAAACATTCTTCCAGCACCTGCCTTATTTCAAACATCCTTCCAGCACATGCCCTATTTCAAACATTCTTCCAATATCTAGCCACCATATCGCACGCTATCACCTTCACTGAGGTTTTGTCCGCTAAATTCAAAGTGTTCGGAGGTTGGTGCTGTAAACTCAAATACAATGGCGAATCCAAGCTCATTGCATCCGCAACTCCAAGATTGGACCCCATCATCCACAAGCACGTCTGGCCACTGTCAAATGACATCCACCATGCTAAATGTCACAAAAGCCATATTAAACCATGTTGCCTTAGCCAAAACCAAGCATCCAAGCATACAAGCTAAAATCAAGCGTACACGCCAATGCCAAGCATCCAAGCATGCAAAGCTAAAATCAAGCATACACGCCAATGCCAAGCATCAAGCCAAAATCAAGCATACACGCCAATGCCAAGCATCAAGCCAAAATCAAGCATACACGCCAATGCCAAGCACCATGCCAAATACCAAGCATACATGCCAACATCAAGCATACATGCCAATACCAAGTCAATACAACTCATGCAAATCACAATCATGCAAAATCAAGCCTCTCTAGTCACTCAAGCAAATAAATCATGCAAGCTAAGTAGTTATCTTGAGCTATTCCACGAAGTATTTTCTTATATATCATGCCACAAAATAGGTCAACTCTTGGTAACTCTAGTAAGTGACCTCCAAAATTATAGTGTCTAGGAAAGTTCTTCAAGGCAACACCCTTGGTGTTTAAGAAGGATTGTGTGGGAACCAATTAAATCAAAACCCTAGGTCAAATAATTTCTTCCATTTGGGGATTATTCGACCAAATTGGGAATTACTCAACCTAATTGGGAGTTACTCAATTTAATTGGGGGTTACCCAATTAAATTGATAATTACCTAATTAAATTGAGATTTGATTTGATTCCTACCACAATTAGGGATTTGACTTACCCTAATAAATCAAATCCCTAATTAATCAAATCAATGCCAAATCGGGGAGGAATAATTCCTTACCAACTATGGAATTATTCCTCTGAAACCCTAGTCTCCGAGACCATTATAAATACTTGGCTATGCACAAAGGTCAGGGTACGTCTAAATTCCTACTAAAACTCTGCAGAAATTATTTCTCACAAACCCTAGCCACCACTTTCTTTCTCTCTCTTACACAAGGCTCTGGCCACCACACACAGCTCCGGCCACCCAGTTTTCCTTGAAATACCCTACCTAACTTAGGCATCGGAGGGCCTTTGGCCAACACCCCCCCGGGTGTGGTCCTTTTACCCCGATATGTTTTGCAGGGAGAAAGAGAAGTGGAGAAGACGAAGGAATCTTAGGCGAATATTCTAGTGGGACGAAATTTGCTCCCACAAATTGGTACTTTCATTGAGAGCACGAGATATATTCAAAGCGTGCTCCAAATCCATCTTTCACACATTTTTTCAAACAACCATGGTTGATACAAGACGTACGAAGAGTAACGCCACCACGACGGGCCCATCTCATGGTTTCGTGGTGGAAACCTCAATGCAACTGCACGGAATCATGGCTGCCAACGCCTTGCAGCCGTCTTCTAGTGCTTTGCAGCCGCCTTCAACAGCTGCCACATGACCCCGGGGCCTTCACAGCCTTGCAGTCGCCAGCGTCGATTACCGGAGCTGCTCTGCCTCGCTGTCATGCCGTTGGAGGACAGCAGCAGCCACACCACTTAACTACTGGACTAGCTGCACAACCCTACGGCTACTCTGACATCATCCCGGTCTTGGAGCAGATCCATTCTCTCCCTCCTCTGTGATCACATTTGACATATGCACCTGTGTACACGTCTAATGGAGCCCTAGCCCACATGCCGTTGGGCCCGATGCACACCACTCTACTTGACCCGCGCAGTCAGGTGGACCTTAACTCACGGGTTGATCAACTCACACAGAAGGTCGATGATCAAAACAACCTGATTGGCCACCTACTCAGGCAGATCAACTTGAATCAAGGCCCTAACCTTGGACCCCGTGACAAGGAGAGGAGGGCACACGAGCATGATGGCGAGTAGTTCGAGAGGTCCCATGCTGGTCAGACAAGGGCAAACCGGCAAGGGAGAGAGCGAGATCGTGCAGATGAGACGCAGACAGCTGCGAGCCGTACTCTGAGCCGTTCAAGGATAGGTCCCAGCACCAATGTGCACGAGAAGATAGGCCCACAATCCAATGTTTGTGCTCGCTTAGGTCCACAAGGAGCTCGAGTTCGTGAGCGGTCGCGGCGACAAGCTGTGGAGGGATCTTCCCAAACTCAACCCTCTCTCATGCCCCACGGGCAGGGCAACCAAGGGGATTGACCCTTGGGAGCCAGAGAAGAAGTTAGCTAATCACGCTCGAGGCACTGAAGACGTCGACCTGAATGACCTTCCTTGCAAGCAGAGGATGACGATCGACGCCCATCAGCCCGCTCGAGGTCCAACACGCTCCGACAAGCTGTGGAGGGATCCTCCCAAACTCAACCTTCTCTCCTGCCCCATGGGCAGGGCAACCAAGGGGATCAACCCTTGGGAGCTGGAGAAGAAGTTAGCCAATCACGCTCGAGGCACCGAAGACGTCGACCTGAACGACCTTTCTTGCGAGCTGAGGATGACGATCGACGCCCACCAGCCCGCTCGAGGACCAACATGCGGCGGCAAGCTACAGAGGAATCCTCACAAGCTCAATCTCCTAATCTGCCCCACGGGCAGAGTACTCGAGGGGATCGACCCTTGGGAATTGAGGAAGAAGTTAGCAAGTCGCGCTCGAGGCACTGAAGACGTCGGCCCGAGACTCCATCCCTGTGGGCAGAGGATGTCGAGAAGCTAGTAAATGACCAACTCCGAGGTCTCCGACTTAAAGGAAGCACGGAGGAGGCCCTATGCAAGGAAATTGATAGAGTTGACTGCTCGCCCTTTACTGACGAGGTGGAACGAGCTCCACCCCAAAAGCGGTTTACAACGCCATCCATCACTCCATTCAAGAGGGACTCTGACCCTGAGAGCCATTTGAGGCACTTTAAGAGTGCTATGATCCTGTACAAGGCAGACAATGCCCTAATGTGCAAAGTGTTCGCGACGACTCTGCGAGGTGCAGCTCAGGATTGGTTCCACACTCTACTGTCCGCGTCGATAGGCAACTTCAAGGAGTTCGCCATCATTTTCACAAAGGAGTACACCTCCTACAAGACGGTCAGAAAGCATGCGGACCACCTGTTCAACCTGCGTAAGAAGCCAGACGAGTCTCTACGAGACTACTTGAGACGGTTTAAGGCTGAGAAGGCTAACATCATAGGATGCAATGACCAAGTTCCATCCTCAGCTTTCAAGAAGGGCTTGCCAATCGAGCACGAGCTATACCGAGAGCTGGCCATAACTCCAAGTCAAACCTTGGTAGAAGTGTTCGCGACGACAGAGCGCTATGCACTTTGGGACGATGATTGTATCGCCGCAAAGAAAGCTTGCAAGCAAGTTGACCACCGACGAAGCAGGCAAGCCAAAAGAGCAACAAGTTCGAGCAAAAAGCCCGAGATAAGCGCAGATCGCGGCCCCAAGAGGGAAGCTCAGAAACAGGGACCTTCACTGAGTTCGCTATCCCAATCCACCTGATCCTAGCTCAGGTGAAGGATAAGCTGTGGGTAAGGAGACCACCACCCATGAAGGGAGATCCCTCTAAAAGAGACACCAGTAAATACTGCGCATTCCACGGGGAGCACGGTCATTACACCAACAACTGCAACGCTTGGAAAAGGCACCTTGAGGAGCTGGTCAGAGAAGGCCATTGCACAGAGTTCGTTGCAAAGAAGGCTATCTAGCAGATCGAGGATCGTGATGCAGCTGCCAAGGAACCTCCCCAAAAGGTCATTCGAATCAACACCATTCTAGCTGACTCCCAAGAGTCCGGGCTGACCACCAAGGAGCGCAAGAGAAAGATCGCCCAGGCAACTTATGTCTCCCAAGTCACAATGGGAGTACCAACCATTGTGGATACACCTATCATCGGCTTCTAGAAGAAGGACTTGATCGGGCTTGACCTGTCACATAATGACGCCCTAGTCATCTGCATCCAAACAAGCTGTGATCGAGCGAGTTCATGTAGATGAGCGCAGCGCAGCCAACATCCTGCAACTATCTGTTATCCAACAGATGGGGTTCGAGCCCAAGATTAGCAAACTTGCCAGATCGCTCACCGGCTTCAATGGGGCCACATCAATCACTGTTGGAACGATCGACCTGGATGTCCACTCACCCCCAGGGTCTGCTCGCAAACCTTCATGGTCATCGACGAGGTTTCCCCTTACAACGAAATCTTGGGCCGACTGTGGATCTGCAAGATCGAGGCCATCACATCTGCTCTACATCAGAAGATCCGCGATCCCATCCCTAAGGGCGGGATCGGGCAGATCAACAGTGACCAAGTCATGGCAAGGAGATGCACAGCCTAAGGGCTCAAGAAGAGCAAGCAACTGTAGTTCACACCAGTAATGCAAGCTGCCAAAGAGGCAGGAAGCGCTCTTAGCAGACAAGCAAACCCGAAAGGGAAGGAAGTTGCTGCTTCACAATAGCAGTTAAGGAACCAGGATCAAGGTGAGGGAATCCGCCCGGAAGACTCCCCTAAAAAGGGTTGGAAGCCTGAGGATGACGTTGAGTTAGTACCCCCCTGATCCTGGCCAGCCAGACAAAGAAGCGCAAATCGGCTCGCGCCAGAATCCAAACAAGAAGGATCGAGACGATGGAATCCGCCCGGAAGGCTCCCTTGAAGAAGGTTAGAAGCCTGAGGAAGACGTTGAGTTAGTACCCCCCGATCTTGATCAGCCAGATAAAGAGGCGCAGATCGGCTCGTGCCAGAATCCAAACAAGAAGGATCGAGACGAGGGAATCCGCCCAGAAGGCTCCCTTAAAGAAGGTTGGAAGCCTGAGGAAGACGTTGAGTTAGTACCCCCCGATCCTGATCATCCAGATAAGGAGGCGTAGATCGGCTCGTGCCGGAATCCAAACAAGAAGGATCGAGATGAGGGAATCCGCCCAGAAGGCCCCCTTGAAGAATGTTGGAAGCCTGAGGAAGATGTTGAGTTAGTACCCCTCAATCCTCACCAGCCAGACAAGAAAGCGCGGATCGGCTCGCGCCTAAGCCCAGACGAGAAGATGGAGCTGACCATCTTCCTCAAGAACAACAAAGACATGTTCACGTGGTCACCATCTGACATGCCCAGCATGGACCCAAACATCATCTGCCATCGGCTCCATGTCAACCCTACTAGCAAGCTCGTGGTGCAGAAGAGACGCAACTTTGCTCCCGAGCGGGTCGCGATCATTGAAGTCGAGATCGACAAGCTCTTAGATGCCGGTTTCATTGAAAAGGTCTCCTACTCGGAATGGTTGGCCAACGTTGTTTTGGTGGAGAAACAAGAAAAGGGAAAATGGAGAGTATGTGTCGATTACACGGACCTCAACGAAGCATGCCCTAAAGACAACTTCCCATTGCCGAGAATCGACCAGCTCGTGGATTCAACTTCCGACAACCAGCTGCTCAACTTCATGGATGCTTACTCTGGCTATAATCAAATTATGATGTACGATGATGACAAGGCGAATACCTCTTTCATCATCGAAAGAGGGACCTACTGCAATAAGGTCATGCCCTTTGGGCTGAAGAACGCCGGAGCAACCTACCAAAGGCTCGTGAATAAAATTTTCAAGGAGCAGATCGGCAGAACCATGGAGGTGTACGTGGACGATATACTGGTTAAAGCCCCCAAGCGAGTAGACCACCTCAAAAACCTCACCGAGGCGTTCAACATGCTCCGCCAATATCGCATGAAGCTGAATCCAAGTAAATGCACGTTCGGTGTATCATCTGGCCGGTTCCTGGGGTACTTAATGATGCAACGAGGTATCGAGGCACACCCGCGCCAAATCAAAGCCATTCTCGAGATGAAGTCGCTTTCCACAGTGAAGGAAATGCAAAGCTTGACGGGCAGATCAGTGGCCCTCAACAGATTCCTCTCAAAATCTACCGACAAGTGCAGACCATTCTTCAAAGCTTTGAAGAAGGGACAAAAAGACAAATTGGACGAAGAGTGCGAAGTAGCTTTCCAGAATCTAAAGACCTACCTTACTTCACCTCCCCTGCTCTCAAAGCCAGTTCCTGGTAAAGACTTGTTCGTGTACCTGGCAATGTCCAACTCGGCCGTCAGCTCAGCTCTCATCCGAGAAGAACTTGGGGCCCAACATCCGATATTCTACACGTCAAAAGCTCTCCTCAATGCAGAGACTCGCTACCCGAAATTGGAGAAGCTCATTTTGGCCCTTGTGGTTTCTGCGAGAAAGCTGCGTCCTTATTACCAAGCTCACCGAGTCATCGTCATGACCGACTTTCCTTTGAGATCAATCGTCCACAGCCCTGATGCTTCTCAGCGACTCATGAAGTGGGCTATAGAGCTAAGCCAATACGACCTCCTTTACTGGCCGAAGATTGCAATAAAAGCTTAAGCCTTAGCAGACTTTGTTGCAGAATTCACACCATCAACCAAAGAAGAGAAGCTGGTGAGCAAAAAGAAGGAAAGTTCGAGAGCAGACAAGACCTCCACTGAACCTGACCAACCTAGAGACATGTGGCAGTTGCGCGTAGACGGAGCGTCGAACCAGAAAGGAGCTGGAGCAGGCGTCGTCATCATCACCCCAGATGGAACCCTGCTAGAGCAAGCTATCACGCTTGGCTTCCCAGCTTCAAACAACGAGGCAGAGTACGAGGCATTGCTCGCTGGCTTGCGCTTGGCAAAGGAGCTATCGATCAAAAAGCTAGCCATCTACTCAGATTCCCAGCTGATCACAAGTCAAGCCTCAGGAGAATACATGGCGAAGCACCCGAGGATGATCTTGTACGTTGACAAAGTCCAAGAGTTGTTGAAGGCGTTTCCCACCTTCACCATCCAGCAAGTTCCCCGAGCAGAGAACGCGCACGCAGATGCACTAGCAAGCTTAGGATCGGCGCTGGATACCCAGTTCAGACGCTCCATCCCGGTCGAGCACCCTGACCAGCCTAGCATAGAAGAGGCAGAGTAGCCGGACCTGATGTAGATCGATGAGGATCCTAGCTGGCAAGACCCCATCATTGACTACCTAGTGAATGAAAACCTGCCCGAGGACAAGTCCGAGGCCAGAAGAATCAAGCAGAAAGCTGCAAGATACTACATGAAAGGCGACATGCTTATCCGCAGATCATACTCCGGGCCTCATCTCACTTGCATCAAGTACCCATAAATGCTCGAGGTTCTCTGCAAGATACACGACGGCGAATGTGGAAATCACGCTGGGGGCAGATCCCTTGCTCAGAAGGCTCTCAGAATCGGCTATTTCTGGCCTACCATGCGCCAAGACTCCACGGAGTATGCTCGAAGATGTGATCGATGCCAACGCTACAAGCCGGTCCCTGGCCTGCCCGCAGAGGAATACCATCCGCAGAACAGTCCATGGCCATTCATGTAGTGGGCCATTGACTTGGTGGGACCTATGCCAACGGCACCTGCCAATAAAGAGATGATGATCGTTGCCACTGATTACTTCACCAAATGGATTGAGGCCGAGGCTTTATCTTCTACCAAGGAGGCAGATGTTGAACGGTTCATCTGGAAGAACATTATTTGCAGATTCGGTTGCTCGCAATCGATAGTCACTGACAATGGTACACAGTTCGTGGGCAGGTAGATCACCGCATTCTTCGCGAAGTATGGCATCAAACAACACCTGTCAACACCTCGATACCCGCAAGGCAATGGCCAAGCAGAGGCATCCAACAAGATAGTGTGGGACTGCCTAAAGAAAAGACTGGAAGGCGTAGAAGGAAAATGGGTCGACGAGTTGCCAGGAGTCCTATGGGTTTATTGCACGACCAAAAAGAGATCGACCAGAGAGACACCATTTTCCCTGGCCTATGGGATAGAAGCAATCATTCCCCCACACATCATAGTCCCTTTCATGAGCATTGAGATGGGCAGTCTTGACCAAAACTGCAAGCAGATGAAAGTCAACCTTAATCTGCTCGAAGAAGAATGAGAAAAGGCCATTGTTTGAGTTGCCGCCTACCAGCAGCAGTTGACGTCCTACTACAATAGGAAGGCCAAGATCAGACAGTTTCAGCCTGAAGACCTTGTGCTTAGAAAAACTTTCATCACAGTACCAAGGCAAGGGTCAAAGTAGATGAAGCCAAACTGGGAAGACCCCTACGTGATCAGCCGATCTAGGGGCAGAGGAAGTTACACCCTTGATACTTTAGAAGGAAAAGAAATTTCGAGCACCTTCGGAGATACTATCCATGAAACTCTTCGCTTACCAGCTTGGCTCATAGCAGGCGATGAGCCTCCTGTACTTCCATTAAAGACGAACTACTTTTGATGTTACCTTTGTTGTTAATTTCCTTTATTCAATAAAGCGATGTATTCACACCAACATCAATACAAGAGCAAGCTTTTCAATGAAGTACTTTTTTGAGCATTGTGTCTGACGAACATACACATGTCGGCAGCAAGCCTCATCTCCATTGTAGACAAGCTACTCCACGAAGCACGAACTCAATGAAGTCTTTTTTTAGCATTGTGGCCCTGACATACGCTCACAGGCGACTCCATTGCAGACAAGCTGCTTCACGAAGCACAAACTCAATGGAGTCTTTTTCGAGCATTGTGTCCCCGACATACGCTCACAGGCGACAAGCCTCATCTCCATTGCAGACAAGCTGCTTCATGAAGCACAAACTCAATGGATTCTTTTTTAGCATTGTGTCCCCGACATACGCTCGTAGGCGACAAGCCTCATCTCCCTTGTAGACAGGCTGTTCCTCGAAGCACAAACTCAATAAAGTCTTTTTCAAGCATTATGTCCCCGACATACGCTTGCAGGCGACAAGCCTCATTTCCATTGCAGACAAGCTGCTCCACGAAGCACAAACTCAATGGAGTCTTTTTCAAGCATTATGTCTCCAACATATGCTAGCAGGCGACAAGCCTCACCTCCACTGAAGGCAAGCTACTCCTTGAGTAAAAGCTTCATGGAGTCTTTTCAAGCATCATGTCCCCGACATACGCACATAGGTGACGAGCCTTATCTCCATTGTAGGCAAGCTATTTCGCGAGTACAAACTCAATGGAGTCTCTTTCAAGTGCTATGTCTCCGGACGTACACTTACAAGATACAATGAGAATTGAAGTTTGAAAGACAACTGAAAATTCCATAACAAACCAGCCAATTAGCACCATCTACTCAACGGCCTCACCTGCCTACTCCTTTGCATATGGTCTAACCTTATCAGCTACGCCACCTTGGGAGTTGTCTTCCTCCATTGCAGCTTCATCTGCTATCTGCTCTTCAACTGCTTCTGCACCCACAACATTGCTCTGCTCACTTTGAGCAAGGGGCAGGTCAAGATAAAGCTGCTTACCGTCTTCATGTTCGAGAGGGCAGCAAGGAGAAGCACTATTCCTACAATCCGAGTATCCCAGCTTGTACGCATTAGCAACAATCTCATGCTTGGATGCCTTCGTGGCTTCAACATGAGTGTCGAACTTGACCAACGGAGCTATCACCAACTTCTGGATCGGCAGTTCGCGCAACTTAAGGACTCTTTGCTCGAGCGGACGACTCTTTAGCTTTCTTGGTCGAAACTCGCAACATTGAGTCAGCTCTGTGCTTGACTGTTCGTGGCTTTGCAGACAAGTCGTGATTGCTAGATAGATGTACAGTCCCCTCAGTTTGATCCTAGGATCGGCACAAGCAACCAAACCTTGCTTCTCAACAGCCTCCTCACAGGGTAGATCATGGGTTTTAGGCAATTCAAGCGGATACCTGAGCAGAATATCCCGGACCTCCTGCATGCCATTGATCTTCTTACTGTTCATGTTGATGAGGCGCTTGATCCTGGCAGATGAAGAAGCAACTCCCAAAGGGACATTCCCAGCAAACGAGACCCCTTTACGGAAGACTTGCTCGTGGAAGAATGAGGAAGCTTGGTCGAGGACTTCTCCCGCTCAACTGGTAGATCATCTAGGTCCGAGCCATGCAGCTCCCATCAGCCTCCTTCTGATGTTCACTCAGCAACCAGCGTAATGCACAGAACCTGGCAAGGATGTTTAAAGCTTGATGAACATTGATCGTGTTCGGGCCGAGATCGAGCTTCTTGTGGATGTCATTTTCTACAAGCAGAAGACAGAAGTTAGTCAGACACACAGCAAAGAATTCCATGGCTACTGTAGTAGATCAAAGGGATGCAACTTACCATCACAGTAGGTGAGAGGAACGAGCGGACCGTCGCCAACCTCCCCTACCCATCTGCCGCTGACTTCCAACATGTCTGTGCTCCACACATGATCGCCTTCACTCATACTGTTCCTAATTCGTGACACAAAAAAAAGGAATTGAAGCAGTTTGGATCAACCACAAATAAGCCGACCCAAACTGCCACCTGCTCTAGCAGTAGGCTTGCTCGCCTCCATCCCAGTTATAGCTGGACTGCCCAAGTCAAAGACTAATTGGCAAGTAAAAAGCCTCTTCCACACAGGAGCCCAAATCAAAGAAGGAAGCCAAGTTATAGCTGGACAGCCCAACAGATAATTTACATCTCCTACATGCCGCCACACGCCATCCAGAAGCTGGGGGCATTTGTGGGAACCAATTAAATCAAAACCCTAGGTCAAATAATTCCTTCCATTTGGGGATTATTTGACCTAATTGGGAATTACTCAACCTAATTGGGAGTTACTCAATTTAATTGGGGGTTACCCAATTAAATTGATAATTACCTAATTAAATTGAGATTTGATTTGATTCCTACCACAATTAGGGATTTGACTTACCCTAATAAATCAAATCCCTAATTAATCAAATCAATGCCAAATTGAGGAGGAATAATTCCTTACCAACTACGGAATTATTCCTCTGAAACCCTAGTCTCCGAGACCATTATAAATACTTGGCTATGCATAAAGGTCAGGGTATGTCTAAATTCCTACTGAAACTCTGCAGAAATTATTTCTCACAAACCCTAGCCACCACTTTCTTTCTCTCTCTTACACAAGGCTCCGACCACCCGATTTTCCTTGAAATACCCTACCTAACTTAGGTATCAGAGGGCCTTTGGCCAACACCTCTCGGGTGTGGTCCTTTTACCCCGATATGTTTTGCAGGGAGAAAGAGAATTGGAGAAGACGAAGGAATCTTAGGCGAATATTCTAGTGGGACGAAATTTGCTCCCACAGATTGGATTTTAAGCGGGACCATTGCGACCCCTCCAACCTTCCCGGAAAAGACCTGGCTGTAATTTCAGGAGACCCTTAACTGATCATCCTTGAGTTGGTCATAAACTCATGCCATGCCATGCTACTGCAATTTATTTCGGGCTGGAAATTGATTATTTGGACCATTTCAATACACATTCATGGCCCCAATAATCAAGGGGGCTAATGTTGAGGCCTAAAAAATCCACGCTTCAGCCCAAATAAATTGTCGGCCCAATACGATACCTTACCGAGAAGAAACTCGATTTGGGCACGCGAAAGTTCATCATATGCGCCTTGCACACATGTCACGCGAAGCAAATAAGCAACATGTCATGCTACAAGCTTAAGTGGGCCCAAGCCACGGAAGATGCTCGGGGCTTGCTTGAGTGGGTTGTGGTATGGATGGTAATAAATTGTCATGAGGCCCATTGATGGGTCGAGAAATGGAGGTTCCGGGTTGCTTGGGAGCCTCAGAACCCAAGCCCATTTCTTAGGCCCAAATATATGGGTGAGCACAAAAGGAAAAATAACCCAACCAAAAAATAACCCATTACCTCAGCCTAAACTGGTCCATTAGCTTAACCAAATTAGCCCAACACCTCAACAAAAATAGGCCAACACTTGTTGAGGTTAGCCCATTTATTTTGACAAACCAACCCATTATCTTAGAAGGCCTAAACAACCCAAGAAAATATCTGCAAATCTTCAGCACTTAGCGGAAAACAAAAGCCACGTTGAAAGCCAAAATATCCATGTGTGAAAGCTGCTGGGAAGCTCCAGCACATGGGAGGAACAAGTTTCAAGAAAAACTTTCAAATGACCAAGGGATATTGGAGCGCAGATCACCCTTTGAACTAGCATGCATACTCATTTCTTTCCCTCATTAGACCTAGCCATAAAAAAGGAAGAAAGGAAAGGAAGGAAATAGCTGAAAATGAGAGTTCTAAGGCAGCTGCGGGAAAAGGCTTTGAGCACCCAAAATTCCTGATTTTATGCAAATGGGCAGAGGAAATTTCACCAAAATAGGATGATTGAGGGGATTAGGGGAGAAAGGAAGGGAAAGACTTGGCCAAATTGGATAGAAACCATTAGGGTTTCTTGGAAAATGTAAGCTTCCAGCGGCTATAAAAGGGGGCCTCTTCTACCCAACAAGCATTAACCACATGAGAGAGCAAGCTTCCTCTCTTACTCCCAAAACCCATCAATTTCGTGCACTATTCACTCTTCTTCTCCATTTCCTCTTCTGGCAGACCACTTTCATATCTGTCAGAAGCTTTGTCAAGCTGCCGGAAGAACAGTGTTCTTTCTTTCTCTCTTCTCAGCCAAATCAGCCTGCAAATCTCTTCTTCCTCACCTTAGACACTCCCATTTCTCCCTAGGAAGCCATATTTTCCTCTTTGGTGCTAAACTCATGCTGATTTTGCTTCCATGCCACAAGCCTCTCATGCCAAACTAGAAAATTTATCTGTAAGCATTAAGAAATCATCTGTAAGCTGCTGTTGTTTTGGTTGGTGAAGATAACCAAGATGCTTCCTAAGGCTCTACTGCCCTTTCAAAGTATTTTGGGACTTGATTTTCGAACTCAGACAAAAGGGGACAATTTCATTAATCTACCCTTTACGGCAGCCCAGCTCATTTTAGCTGCCGGAAGAAAAAGTTCCCTACAAGATCAAAATTTAAAGTAAGAATTAGATAAATAAATAAATAAATAACACCATTGAAAATAAAAAATTTAATTTTTTCCAAAGTCTGAAATAAATTCGATAATAACCTGATTTGAACCCTGTAGTTATTTGATGTGAATTTGTAAAATAAATATATGATTCAAAGTTCCATTTGATTATAAATAAATTCAAAATTTTATTAGGTAGACACATGTAGACTTTGTTCGATCATAAAAAGATTCGGAATTTGATCTTAAATGATTTATCTTATTCTTCTAAATATTCGATCATAAAAAAGATGATACAAAAAGATGAAAGCTGGCACAGTTGTATCGTCTTTTCTATTCCAGAGCTTTTATGTATTTATTTTGTTTTTAAGAAAGAAGAGTGCAAATAGCTCTTGTAGCTCAGTTGGTTAGAGCACCCGTTTAGTAAGCGGGAGGTCTTGAGTTCAACTCTCAACGAGAGCATATTACTAATTACAAATCTTATTTTTGTTATAAATTTTTCCATTATAATATACTATGCAAAAGTTTTTTATCTTCTTTTTATTATTTAGGAATAACTATTGATTCACTCCCTAAACTTAAACTCTACTTTCAATTTGCACCCTCAACTTTTTTCTTGGAAAATTATGGATACGAACTAATTTTTATCGCCAATTTTCCCCTTGCCGTCTAAATCTTAACATTTCATCCAATTTTCTGTTAAATCATTAAGAAAAATATTTTTTTTTGGAAAACATTGAAGAAAAAGAGAACAAAAACAAAAAAGAAAAAATTATGGGGATCCACTGACCAAGATTCGATCCCCCTTGTATTTTCATCTGCTCCCATTCTGACCACCACCCCACAGAACCCCCCCTCCCTCCTTTCTGTTTTTTTAAACCCTAAACCACACAACACACATCTCACACCCCCTTCCAACACCCCCCCAAACGGGCGTTGTCTCCCCCGTTCCCCCATGATCACCACCCATACCATTCACCTTACATACCCTTTCCCCCTTCTTTTTTTTTTTACCACACACATACACCCCCTTCTCCTTCATTCCCCCATGACCACCACTCACACCCTCCGCCCCACAGACCCCTCCCTCCTCCTCCCCCATTATGTTCTTTCACCCACAAACTCATCACCCCCATCCCTCAACAAATCTTCCTCCCTTTCTGCCGTCGCCCCCTCCTATTGGCGTGAGTCAACGTCCCTATTAGGAATAGAATTTATATTTTATTGTAATTATCTAATTTGAGTGGAATTATGAGATTTTGTACATATTTTCTATTTGTAACTACTCCGTATGTAGTATATATATTCCACCTTGAGAGAAGAATAAACATATCAGTTTAAACCCTAATTATTTTGAGTTGGTATCCGAGCAGGTTCCAATCCACCTCTACAACATCAAAACCCTAATCTTGAAAATACCTATTTCCGTTGCACCTAGCCTATACACCTAAGCCTATGCCATCTTATATCTCTTGCTGTCCTCGTCGCCACCTAGTCTTTTGTTGCCGCTGCCATCTATCACCATGTCAGATGTCACTGAATCTTCTTCTTCTACTCCTATTGTGACGGTTCATACCGAATCGTCCACCAACCTACCTATGGGATTCAAATTGAATGGATCCAACTATGAGATATGGGCTTCGATGATTGAACTCCATGCTACTACACAAGGCAAATTGGGTTACCTGACTGGCGACACTGATGCCCTTGATTCCGAAGACCCAAAATTTGGGAAGTGGAAAATTACTGATGCTATTGTGAAAAGCTGAATGTTGCGAACCATGGAACCCAGTTTGTTGAATATGTTTCATACTAAGAAAATTTGGGATGCTGTTAATCAGATGTTTTATGATGGGTCTGACATATCCCAGCTCTATGAACTACGGTGCCAGGCTACCCGTCTCAAGTAAGAGAGTCATCTTGTCTCTACCTATTTTGCCGAACTTAAGGCAATCTGGCTTGAATTGGACAAGAGACGTCCTTTTTAGATGAAGTGTGCTGATGATACGAAGACTTTTTAGGCTGCTGTTATCGCAGATCATGTGTATGATTTTTTGGTTGGCCTTAATGATACTTATGACAAGGTCCGTAGTGATATTCAACGGAGTGATAAAGTTCCAAGTATTGAAAATGTATTTTTATGGTTCGTCGAGAGGCTCAACGCCATATTACTATGTTTGGATTTGGCACGAAGATTGGGGAATCTGCTATTGTGTTTGCTTCCAAAAACACTGCTTTGGTTTCTCGGCCTACAGGATCTAGCTCTTCTGCTATTTCGCCTCGTAGCCTGACTTCTGCAGAAAAAGACAAACTAAAGTGTGATCACTGAGGTGAAAAGAGACATACAATCGACACCTGTTGGGCATTGCACGAGGTACCAGATTGGGAGAAGGAGCGGAGGCATTTAAAAAGGGAACAACTAGATAGCGAAGCTCATGTGACTGTTGCCCCCACTTCTGTGGTTGACATCACCACTAGGCACAACCACCTTGCTACTACTCCTCCTCCAACTTTGACCGCGGTATCAAGCATTCCAACACCTTCGCCTCCAAGTAACTTTGGCAAGGCTTTCCATGCTTATGATACCCGCGATATAGGTTGGATTATTGATTTAGGAGCTACTGACAATATGACGTATAATTCTGCTTTATTCTCTACTATTCTTCCGCCTCATCGTGATCATGTTCTGATTGCTAATAATGCCGCTGCTCTTGTCGCGGGGTCTGGTTCTGTACTCTTGACACCTACTTTACCATTAGACAAAGTGTTACTGGTTCCATCTTTGTCTAGTAATTTATTATCTATACCGCAAGTTACTGAGCAGTTAAACTATGTTGTACTGATGTATTCCTTTTTTATCTTACTACAGGATATCCAGACTCGGGGAGATCTTTGGTCGTGATACTAAAAAAGGGGGGTTTATTATGTGGATGATGTGGCAACTAATCGGGTTCTTCGTGCTAGTAGCGCCGAAACTTCTCAGCATCGCTGGATTTGGTGGCTATATTACCGATTTGGTCATGCCTCCTTTCAATATTTACGGCATTTGTTTCCTGCATTATTTAGTTGTGTCAACGAGTTTGCTTTCCAATGTCAGACTTGTATTTTAGCTAAGAGTCATCGGGTATCCTACCCTCCAATTGGTTATATGGGATGAAAAATAAAAGTGATGTGGCCAAAAATTTTCAACGTTTCTATCAGATGATTCAGACTCAATTTATGCTATTTATCAAGGTTTTTCGATATGATAATAGTGGAGAATTTGTTACTTTGACATTATCCCATTTTTTTCACACTAAGGGTGTACTCCGTGAGATACTTGCCCTCAAACACAACAGAATGTGGTTGCTGAACATAAAAATGAGCAGATCTTTGTTGCTGCTCGTGCTCTGCTGCTTGGTGTGTTAGTTCTAAAGCGGTTTTGGATGGATGTTGTTAGCTATACAGTCTATCTCTTGAATCGTCTACCTTGAAGAGTTTTGGATTTCCAAACTCCTATGCAGGTACTGACCCATCATATCTCTGCGTTTTCTTTGCTAATTCTATCTCCAAAGGTGTTTAGTTGTGTCGTCTATGTTCACCTCCATCAGAATCAAAGGAGTAAGCTGGACCAATGTGCTATTCGCTGTGTCTATCTGGGTTTTTCTCTCCTCATAAAAAAAAGCTACCGATGGTATAATCCTGCAACCTGACGTCTATATATCTCTATGGATGTTACTTTTATTAAGGATGAAGTGTTCTTCTCTGATACACCCGAGCATGTCCTTCAAGGGGAGACTAGTAGCGAAAGACATAACTGGCTAGATTTACTAGGGGGAGTAGTATTGGATAGTTTGATACAAAGGGAAGAACCGACCGAACCTGTTGAACCTGCTACACCGGCCGAACTTGCTACACTAGTTGAACTTGCTATTTTAACTGATGTCACTACTGTCACTGAACCGATTGCCCCCTATGAAGCTTTTCTAATAGTACCCGATCAAGCTCCCCTGGATATTCGTGAGGTAAGTGCTTCTATTCATACTTCTGATAATTCTTATGTTTTAGCACCTAGACAACCGTGGGGTTCCACCTGATCGTTACTCACCAGAAGGCAAAGCGAGATATGCTATTGCCCATTATGTGTCTGATCACAGGTTATCTCCTCAGTACAAAGTGTTTGTGACCATAATGGACAGTATTAAAATTTCAACTCGTGTTGAGGAGGCATTTTATGATCCAAAATGGGCTGAAGCCATAAATATTGAAATTGAGGTGTTGCAGAAAAATAATACATGGGACATTGTTGATCTATCAAAGGGAACGAAGCTTGTAGGATACAGATAGATGTTTACAATTAAATATAATACAGATGGTACTGTGGAGAGGTACAAGGCAAGATTAGTAATAAAAGGGTTCATTGAGACATATGGAGTTGATTATCATGATACTTTTGCACTTGTGGCTAAGATGAATATTGTCAAAGTTTTGTTGTCCTTAGCAGTAAACTAGGATTGGACCCTGAGGCAATTTGATATAAAAAATGCATTCTTACATGGTAAACTAGAAGGAGAAGTGTACATGAGTCTTCTACCAAGGTATAAGGTTACTAGTGAAATGGGGAACTTGTGCAAATTAAAAAAGGCGCTGTATGGGTTAAAGCAGTCTCCTCATGCATGGTTTGGCATATTACTACAACTATGAAGAAGTTTGGTTACCAACAGGCCAATACTGATCATACTCTATTCATTAAACATAGGGTTGGTAAGGTGACTTTGTTGATTATTTATGTTGATGATATGATTGTGACTGGTGATGATACTATAGAAATCGAGGAACTGCAGAAGCGTTTAGCATCTGAATTTGAAATGAAAGATTTGGGTAGTCTGAAATATTTTCTAGGAGTGGAAGTCACTTGATCTAAACATGGCTTATTTCTTTCACAAAGGAAGTATGTCATGGACCTGCTAGCAGATACTAGAATGCTTGACTGTAAACCAGCTGATACACCTATTGTTGAGAATCATAAACTTAGTGTTTATATGGATCAGGTCCCAACTAACAAAGAAAGATACCAAAGGTTGGTTGAGAGATTGATTTATTTATCATTGACACGCCCTGAGATTGCCTATGTTGTAAGCGTTGCTAGCCACTTTATGCATTCACCTAGTGAGGATCATATGGCTGCTGTGATGCGTATTCTGAGTTACTTAAAGTCTGCTCCTGGGAGAGGTTTATTATTTAAGAAAAATGGTCGCTTGGATCTAGAAGTTACACTGACGCATATTATGCAGGGAATATTACAGATAGACGTTCTACATCAGGTTACTTCACCTTTGTTGGGGTAACCTAGTTACGTGGTGTAGCAAGAAGCAAAACGTTGTGTCTCGGTCCTCTGCAGAGTCTGGGTACAAAGGGATTGCCCAAGGGGTTTGTGAAATATTGTGGTTGAGGTGGTTACTTGCTAAAATTGGGTTTAGACTGAATGCTGCTACAAAGCTCCATTATGATAATCAGTCTGCATTTGAAATTGCTAGCAATTCAGTGCAACATGATCGAGCTAAGCATGTAGAAGTTGATCGGCATTTCATTAAGGAGAAGCTGGAGCATAAGTTAATTTCTATACTTTTGTGTCTTCTTCAGAGCAGCTTGCAGATATGTTGACCCATGTCGTGTCAAAGCCCGGATTTGAAAACTCACTTGACAAGTTGGGCATTACGGATATCTATGCACCAACTGGAGGGGAAGTGTTGGTGTGAGTCAACGTTCCTACTAGGAATAGAATTTGTTCCTATTAGGAATAGAATTTATATTTTATTGTAATGATCTAATTTGAGTAAAATTGGGAGATTTTGTACATATTTCCTATTTGTAACCACTCTATATGTACTATATATATTCATCATTGAGAGAAGAATAAACATATTAGTTTAAACTATAATTATTTTGAGTCCTCCTCTTTCTCCATCCACACACTTCCTCAATTTCTTTTCTCCCCCACCCCCTCTATCAATTTCAATACTTCCACACTCGAAAAGCTCACAGTAGATCCAAGCCTTTCAAAAACAATCGAAAGGTAAAATTCCTGATCATAAGGCATAAGTGGCTCTACTATAAGTGTGTTATAGCCTCCCATCTTAAGCTTTTTCCAAATTCACACAAAACCTATCAACCAAAACAACAACAAATTCAATCTTTAACACTTGGGTTTGCTAAAAAAGATCAAAATCAAATAAAATATAATAGAATTTACCTCCTTGCCATCGGATAGCATTTGGGGTGGGAGGTCATGGGGAAGAAGAAAAAACAAAGGGGAAGGTTGGGGTGGGGTGGAAGGGCCATTGGAAGTCATATGGAGAGAGGGAGAGTACAGGGGGAGAGAAAAAATAGATGGAAAGGGTGGGGGTGAGGGAGAGAGTGATTGGTTGGGCAGACCCCACTCTTATTAAAATATTTTTTCTTTCATTTTAGATTTCATATTATTTTATTTGTGTATTTAATTATTTTAACATATACAATGACCAATTTGCCCTCATATTTAACGGCAAATTGGATGAAATGTTGAGATTTAGATGGTAGGGGGAATTGGTGATAAAAATTAGTTGTGTACTTAACTTTCCAAAAAAACAAGATGAGGGTGCTAATTCAAACTAGCATACAAGTTCAAAGGGTAAATCGACATTTTTATTTTTATTTTTTATATAAATAGTTATAATGGAATGTAATTTATAGAAAAAGTTGATAAAGATCCAAAAATCCAATCAAGAGTTTGGTTTAGTCCACACATTTGTTGTCGTTGATACAAATCCTTTGACTTTTGTGCCACATAGGGTTATACTCCTTTGGCTGTTGATTTACCTCATGAACTTGTATGCTATTTTCAATTTGCACCCTACACGAACAAAATTTTATTGCCAATTCCCCCATACCGTCAAAATCTCAACATTTTATCCAATTTTCTGTTAAATCATTAAAAAAAAATTATTTTGAACAAACTGAAGAAAAGGAGAACAAAAATCACTGGGACCCATAGAGCACAGACCCAGAACCCAGGCCCCCATAATGTTTTCTTCTCCTCCCATTCCCTATGACTAGCACCCACCACAAGCCACCCTCCAACCCTAGATCAATCCCCACCCACTGACCCCTCCCCGCTCCTCCCCCATTATGTTTCTTCACCCCCAGACCATTCACCCTCCTCCCTATCCTCCCCCTGATTTCTTCTTCCCCGATTCTCCCATGACCACCACCCACAAGCTCCAATCACCAAATGAACCTAGAACCTACAGACCCACCCCCCCCTCGCCACCTCCCCAAGGATCCTAGAACCCACAGACCCACCCCCCCGAACTAACCCAAAACCCACAAACCAAACCTTAAGGCCCGACATGTTTAATTCAATTTTCTCCTTATAATTTCTGTTATATTATGATATATTTGTTAATAAGGCTGAGCGTAATGGTTTATTTAAGCTTATTCTAAGTTTTTAGGCCCAAGATACTTTAATTTACGAAAGCCCAAGATGGTTAGTCTGAGTAGGCCGACCATCCGATACATTTTAAGAGGCCAACTAGGGTTTTAGCACTAGGGTTGGGCAAGCCAATTAGATGACAAATTTAAAAATGAACTTTAAGGTTTAGCTCAGTTGGTTATAGAGGAAAAAGGTCCAAAAGGGAGAGAGATAGAGAGTTCTGAAAAAGGAAAAAGGATTTTCTAGAGGCAAATTGATGGCTGGAGCTTAGATAGGAGGGTTCGAGAGGATAAAAATCGTTTCTCCTTCTGAACTTTTGATATTAAGAAACTAGATATCCCCAGCTTTCTGTAAATATAAAGATCTTCAAATTTGGACAAGTATGCAATTTATGGGAATTTTGCAAAGTTGGTCATGTGACGTTGATTCCAGTCTTCTAGTTACGAGTATCAGTTTCATAATTGGTAGACGACATAGAATTTGAACTCCGTAAAATCTCGTGCTCATGGGACGTGTGGTTATTTTATAACAGGTTTATGAAGTGGACTGGGTTAGGATTGGATTGCTTTCATAGACTGTCTTCAGTAATTGCTTTTCTTTGTCTTTTGCGCTATACATTCATTAGCTTCACATTTACGCTCCGAAGAGTTAGCCCACAAGTGGTCAGCGTTTGCATTGCAAACATGCAATTGCATGACGGTGCATAAACGAAAATAAGAAAAATGGATCATATTTTATTGTACTGGCATAATTAGACATATTTTTTACTATAAATCGTAGGGCGCAATTATCCGAAATAGATAGCATCACAAACGGTAAGGGGCAATAATCCAAGCATCCAAAAATACCTAGTAATAGAAATTGTCATGTAGTACGAATAACATTTCAAAATATCTCCAATTTCGTAAACCATAATGTGGTTAACCCTACTTTTTAATCATAGCCATAGGATCATAATCAAGTGGTTACTTGTTTTTCTTTATCTTCGCGCTACATTCATTAGCTTCATGTTTAAGCTCTGTGGCGTTTGCCCACGGGCGGGTACCATTTTCATTACACACATGCAATTGCACTACGGTGGTGCAATGCAAAAGTGATTGTGCGCAAACGAAAATAAGGATCATATTTTATTGTACTGGTATAAGTAGACATATGTTTTACTATAAATCGCAGGCGCAGTTATCTGAAATACATAGCATCACAAATAGTAAGGAGCAATGATCCGCACATATTAGAAACGGTAAGGACCAATTATCTGAAAATACCTAGTAATAGAAACTGTCATGTAGTGCGAATAACATTCCAAAATATCCTCAATTTCAAAAACCATAATTTGGTTAACCAAAATTTTTTATTATCATAGCCATAGGTCATAATCAAGTGGTTACATGCTTTTCTTTGTCTTCACGCTATATAGTAATACGCTTCACGCTTACGCTCCTTGGAGTTTGCCCACAAGCGGGTAGAGTTTGCATTACAAACATGCAATTGCACTACGGTGATGCAATGCAAGAGTGACTGTGTGCAAATGAAAATAAGAAAAATGGATCCTATTTTATTGTACCGGCATAATTAGACATATTTTTTACTATAAATCGCAATGCGTAATTATCTGAAATACATTGCATGACAAACGATAAGGGGTAATAATCCGAACATATTAGAAACGGTACAGAGCAATGATCCGAAATTACTTGGTATTAGAAATTTTGATGTAGTGCTTAAAATATTCCAAAATATCCCCAATTTTGTAAACCATAATTTGGTTAAACCTAATTTTTAGTCATATCCATAATTTAATCGATTTTATTTTTCTTTGGGGTATGTGAATGAACTGTGGAGTGTGGTTCTGCATCCTCATTACCCTTATCTACGGCCTGGTCCTCATCCCTAACCTCATCCTCTTCAATCCAAGCTTCCTCTTCATCTTCCTGTTCTTCTTCTTCTTCCTCATCTTCTTCATGCTCTTGTGCTACCACAATTTTGGTCTTTCCTTTTCTAAGTATGTCATCTTTAACTTTTGAGCGAAACTCCTACATACTGTGAAACATTGACATATATAAATAATCAATTTCGTTGAATTTTCTTTTGCATATGGGCGATCATGGTTTGCATTGCAGAATTGAACATATTATTAAAAATTGCAAAATTGAACATTTTATAAATTGTGTGGGGCAATTACAAACTTACATGTACTGCATCATCATCTAAGAGGTCTTGACCAATCTATTCACTTGCAATGGTTGTCTCCTTGGTTTTCTTCAATATCTCCTATTACAATATAACATCATTCATGTTCATTGTCGGTCTCTTATTACAATATAACATCGGTGATGTTTGCTAATTTTATAAAATCACTATGAAATGAAGCTGAATTGACTCACAATCTCTTGCCATAGGCGTCTTTATGCTTGCTTCCAATGACATTGAAAATAGTAGGGCATTCAAACCAGCATTCAGCTCCAAAATCTCGGTTGCAACTTGAGTAGTTACCTACATTCAGGCACATGCAATTACAACAATCACCACTGGAAGCGATGAATTAGGAATAAATTATGCAATGGAAACTACTTACATGCATTACACCATCAAGTAATGGTATATTAGTACTATCTTGTCCACGGAGTATTCGTACTAGTTTACTTTCATTATCGGCGCCCCAAATTGGTATTCGCACTGACCATGCCTGAGGAGAGATGTTTCCAACCATTATATTAGCACCTGCCAGAGTTGTATGTTATCCTTCCAATACGGGGTAGAAAGGCTTTCATAAGGCACCCTCCTTTCACTCGCTAGTAGGTCTGCAATTAGTTTCCCAAACAATTTAACTAGCTTTTTCTTATTCTTGTAAATCTTCAAGTCGTACTTGTTTACGCTATGATCAACCGAGCATACCTAGCATCAAAACGACTAGCACCAAGGTAGACACGCCTTCTCCTCTGCCGAAAGAAGACACTCTTTCAAAGTGCTAGCCACCTGCCGAAGCTCCCGACTGCTGAAGCTCTCAACTGCCGAACCTAATCTCCAAGACACGTGTCACCACCACAGCAATTTGCACAAAGTCCCACATCGAAACTTTGTGCAAACCTCCCACTTTCACTTCCCTATAAATAGGGAACAATACCCAAGTAAAAAGGGTAACTTCTCTCTCACTTTTACTGTTACTCTGCGAATTTTACCACTCATAGCTGACTTAAGCATCGGAGAGCCTTCGCCTGGCACCACACCGGTGTCCGAAGCTTAACGACTGATTCTCCTACTTTGTCTTCTGCAAGCTCCTCCCTTGCTGAAGGTCCTCACCTTCTCCCCTGCTGAAGACTATCCACTTCTCTCTAAGTTGACCTCCCAAAAAGAGCATCAACAGTTTGGCATCGTCTGTGGGAATAGACTACTGAATCCCATTTTCTCTACCATCCCAGCTGGCTCCTTCTCCCATCAGGCCCCGTTGCTTCTTCTTCACCCCACAGTCCACTATGCCGACCGAGCATAGCCCTAATACTTAGCATCATACCCCCTGCAGGGGTACTTCCCGAAGAAAACCTTCAGCATATGCCAATCTCCAGGCTGAGGTAGAGCTCCTCCACGCCAGCGTCGCCAAGATGTCTGAGAAATACGAACATCTCCATACCAAAAATATCGAGCTGGAGCATGACTACTGCACGCTGAAGCGTAACTGGGAGAGGACTTATCCTCAGGGCTTCCAACATGACTTTACCCAGGGTGCTGATCATACCCAGCCAAACCAGCCAGTGCACTCCCGTCATAGTGCCCCAGTCCAATCTAGAGTCAGCCAAGGTAAAGGTCCCTTCCATCTAGAGACGACCATATCACGGCTCCTTCATATTTCCCCATCAAAGGACCGGCCCCAGGAACCAGTCAATATCTATAGAGATTTCAGGGACCGTCAGCCATACCCTATCCCTATTCCTATTAATCTCAAAGACCCAAGGGTGGCACACCTAGGCCCCCCACCGACGCCAACCCACCTACTTCCTGGAGAAGGTGCAGGGGGCTTAGATAACTGGGAACATTACCATCCAGACGACTGGGAATCGTATCACACCAAGGCGTTCGAGGAATGGGAACCTTACTCAAACCCTGCTCACCCACAGCCTAGGCCTTTAGCACCTAACACTCTCCCTCATGCCGACTCGGCCATGAGGCTTCTCTTTGAGAAGGTTAGCCGTCTGGAGAGTGAGCATCACCGCAGCCACCAGCGCCTCTGGGCGAAGCCACAACCCCGGGTCTTTACCGAATGTATCCTGAATTACCATCAGGAGAAGGACATTCAGCCATTCCAAATCACCTTCTGCACTAGCACAGAGGACCCTCTCACTCATATTCACTCATTCTAGTCTGCCCTCGGATGCAAGGGCCTTAGTGACGAAGGAATGTGCCTCATTTTCCCTTCCACCCTCAGCGGCGCGGCCCTGAATTGGTTCTACAGGCTAAACCTGAGCACCATCAACTCATTTGACAGTCTGAAGCAGGTCCTGAGCTGGTTACTCTCCATGAAGACATCCCAGATCGACAAGTCCGGATCGACACCTCCCTCTCACAAGAGCTTCGCTCTGATCTCGTTGCCTTCCTCCGCCTCAACTCTAAGGTCTTCGCCTGGTCTTACAATGACATGCCTAGCATATCACCAGACATCATATCCGATCGGAAAAAAAAGGTGGACTATCCCTCATGGCTAACCAATATGGTGATGGTACGAAAAAAAAAGAAAAAAAGGCTAGCGCATGTGTGTAGACTACACCAACCTCAATCGGGCTTGCTCGAAGGATAGCTTCCCCTTACCATGAATCGACCAGCTTGTTGAAGCCACAGCTGGCCACGCCCTTCTTAGCTTCATGGATGCTTACTCAGGGTACAACCAGACCTTCATGCACCCTGATGACCAAGCCCATACATCCTTTATCACCGGTCGTGGCCTATAGTGCTACAAGGTTATGCCTTTCAGAATCAAGAATGTCGGGGCTACTTATCAGCGTCTTGTGAACAACATCTTTGCCCCACTAATTGGCAACACTATGGAGGTTTATGTCCATGACATGCTAGTCAAAAGTCGCACTGACTAGCACATCTCTAACCTATCTGCCATGTTCACCATCCTGAAGCAGTATAAAATGAGGCTCAACCCTACGAAGTGGTCCTTCGGCGTAGCTTCGGGAAAATTCCTTGGCTTCATGATCAACCAACGGGGTATTGAAGCTAACCTAGAAAAGATTCAAGCCATTTTAGACATGAAGATACCCACGACGGTCATGGACATACAAAGCCTTACCGGACGCATTGCATCCCTGACCAGGTTTATCTCCAAGGCTATTGATCGCTGCACCCCCTTCTTCAAGGCACTCAAGGACAACAAGCGAAGCATCACCTAGACTGCAGAATGTGACAAGGCTTTCAGCGAACTCAAGGAGTGTATGAGCCGAGCCCCTTTATTGTCAACTCCTGAGCCTAGGGACATCCTCACGATGTACCTCTCCGTCTCAGCCACCACAGTTAGCTCAGTACTCATCCGTCCCCACGAAGGTGCTGAACATCCGGTGCACTATATTACCAAGGGATTGCAAGATGCCGAGGTTCGGTACCCAGACATCGAGAAGCTGGCCTTTGCTCTGGTAGTGTCAACCAGACGCCTCATACCATACTTCCAAACTGACACCATCCATGTTCTAACCAACCAGCCACTAAGGCAGGTATTGCAAAAGCCAGAGATTTCGGGCAGGTTGGTTAAGTGGGCTATTGAGCTAAGTGAATTTGATATCCACTACAAACCCCGCCCAGCTACAAAGGGCCAAGTTGTTGCTGACTTCATATCAGAATTCACAGAACCCCAAGCTTTGGCGGTTCCTCATATCATAACCGAACCCAATCCTCCCTTGAGCCAGGTCCATGTAGCCAGCAACGGCACCCTCGATCTGACCCAGCCCTTGTGGACCTTATATGTGGATGACACTTCCAATACCCAGGGATGTGGAGCTGGCCTTGTTCTTATCTCACCAGATAAGGTTGTCTTTGAGTACGCCCTCCACTTCAAATTCCACGCCTCCAACAATGTCGCTGAGTACGAAGCACTCTTAGCTTGCCTTCGGCTAGCCAAGGAGATGGGCGCTAGGCAAATCCATATATTCAGCAACTCCCAACTCGTCTTTCATCAAGTCAACCAGGACTTCACGGCTAAGAACACCTCTATGACGGCATATCTTTAGCAAACCCGCCACCTGCTGACAACCTTTGACGCTTATCTCATAAGCCAAGTGTCACGCTATGGGAACAGTCATGCTGATGCTTTGGCCAGGCTAGCCTCAGCCATAGAGCAAGGCATTGGTCACAACATCCATATGCAGCAATCATTTGTATCATTGATCACAGCCCCACATGGATGGACCCCGTCCTTCAGTTTTTGCATAACCAAACACTACCTGCTAATCCTGCTGAAGCGCGACATGTGTTCATTATCGCTCCACTCGACACTTGATCCTCGATGGCGCTCCATACAAGCGCGGCTTCAACCTTACTTACATTCGATGTCTAACTCCAGAGGAAGGTAACTATGTCCTTAGGGAGATTCATGAGGGCATCTGCCACAACCACTCAGGCGCTCGCTCACTAACACACAAGGCCATTTGGCATGGATACTTCTGGCCATCACTTCATATTGATGCCCAAGCCTTCACCCAGAAGTGCGACAAGTGTAAGCGGTTTGCTAACATCCCACAACTTCCAATTGAACCATTGACAGCCATGGTCAGTCCTTGGCCATTCGCCCAATGAGGATTTGACGTCATTGGACCTATGCCTAAGGGCAAAGGCCAGGTCAAGTATGCAATTGTAGTTGTGGACTACTTCACCAAATGGGCTGAAGCTCGACTTAGCCACCATCACTGCAGCTCGCATTGAAACATTCGTCTGGCAAAATATCATATGTTGTTTCGGCATCCCCAACACCATTGTCACAGACAACGGCCGACAATTTGACAATGCAAAGTTCAAGCAATTTTGTGCCAACCTCAAGATACGTCTTTGCTTCGCCTCCCCAACCCATCCTCAGTCTAATGGCTAGGTTGAAGCCATAAACAAGATCATCAAGAAGACTCTAAAGACCAAGCTTGACAAAACTAAGGGTTGCTGGCCAAAGCTACTCCCAAAGGTTCTCTAGTCCTAGGGCACCACCTTCCGCACCTCAACAAGAGAAACACAGTTCTCTCTTTCCTTTGGTACTGAAGTCGTGGCACCTGTGGAGATTGGCTAGCAAATATACCGAACCTCCACTTATGATGCCGAAGCCAATGACGAGCAATTAGCCCTGAACCTTGACTTCATTGACAAGCTTGGGGACTGGGTCATGCGTAAGGTCAAACCCCGTGCTTTCAAGATTGGGGACTGGGTCATGCGTAAGGTTTCCTTGGCCACCAAGAACCCTACTAAAGGTACCTTGGGCCCTACATGAGAAGATCCTTATGAGATTACCAAAGTTTGCCGCCCTGGCACTTATCAGCTTCGTGATCCCAAGAGCAATACTTTGCCTCATCCTTGGAACGCTGATCACCTCAAGTACTACTATAAGTAAATGCACCTAGACCCTGGGGCATTATGTTTTCTTAGACTTTGGCCTTGACCCTTGCCTCAACCATCTCTTATACCTTCTGCCTTTCCGCACTTATTTAATGAAACGCCTGACTCATGCTAATTCTTATTAATCACACGATTATCATTTTTGCTATCAACTGATATCATAGCAAATTAAAATAACCTTGCCCTAAGCAAGGCAAAATGTTCATACAAAGCAAAAATAAACATCAAGTGTTCCAAACAAATGACTAGAGTACATAAGGAAGGCCACGCCTTCAGGACTCAGTAGAAGGGGCATCCGTGGTAGCCGACTCCGGCTCTGGGGTGGCATTGGTGGCAGGACTAGGTGAAGGAGGCTCGCCACTCGTATCAAAGTTGATCTCAACCGAAGGGTTGAACCTCGCCAGTCTTTCCTCCCAACGCAGCTGCTCATACACCAATAGGTCCATGATGTAACTCCGCAGCTCCTCTGAACTCCGAAACGACTCGACCCTTTCAGCTCGGGCAACAGCTACCTTTCTTTTGCAACAGCAGGGCGTTTGACTGCTTCAACTCCTCCACCTCTCTGGCCAGTGCCACCTTCTGCAACAGCAGGGCGTTCTTCTCTCGAATGGCCTCATGCACCTCCGCTATCTTGTCCTTGGCCATCTCATTGCGCCTCTTTATTCTCTAGATCTCCTTATCTACCTTGGCCATGTTGACATACATCTCACCAAAGGCCTACAACACAAAGCATCATTAGTCAGAAGCAAACTAGAATGATAAGAACAAATTCACAAAACAAGACAACTTACATAGGCATGGGTAAGGAATGTCTTCTGGGCCCAATCTGCATAGGAAGAGGCATGTGTCCTCGCCAGAACCTCGGGGTCACTCTTCACGCCTTCCAGGAAGACATTCACCAAGGGAACCTCCTGCTGATGCATGGCAAGGTTCACCTCATTCTTCTGCCGACGCAGCGTAGAGAAGTCCACCTTCTCCACCCTCTTGGCATAAACATCCTCCATACCGAAGGGGAGCTTCGGCGGCGCCTGCAGGTCAAAGAGAGGAAGCCTCGGCCCTATCCCCATCACACTCTAGTGAGCTTGCTCCAGCGCTCTCTTCTTTCCTAGCACATCGGCAACCAGCCCTTCATCGTCATCTCTAGGACGCTTACCAGTCGCCTGCCTGGCACCCCCCCCCCTCAACCTTCTTCGCACGAGACTCCCTAAGCCATCTCTGCATCATCCAGATCCACAGCCACCTTCATGCTTTCCTTTATAATACCTGCCACTGCACATCAAAAGCTAAGTTAGTCACAACTACAAAAAGGAATCAGAAGACAAACAACAAAGGTGGCCCAAGTACTTACTTCCTTGCAAAAGGCCAGACTCAAATAGATTCTTCTTGGTGACTAGGTTTTTACACTCACGCTCGGTCTCTGACAGCAGTGACCTCACCCTCTCAACTTCGTCTTCTTGCTCCTTGGAGATCGACCCCCCACTTCACCGAACCTGCACCAAAGGTTAGATACTACTCAACCATTTACACTTGCACAAGCAAAAATGGAGAACCACGAGTCAAAGCAGGTAAAAACACTACAAAACAATAATCAGTCTTAAAGGATGGGGCCAATGACCTATAGACTAGAAGTGGGTAGAAATGTGTTTGGAGACGGTTTTGCCTGGTAGACACTCCCAATCACCATAAGTCAGGCACCACCTGTTCCTCCAAAACTTCTGAGTGGAAGGCTTGTGACCAATAAAGTAACCTCTGTTTTGCCTTTCGGCAATTGGCTTGTGACCAATAAAGTAACCTCTGTTTTGCCTACAAGTACATAAACTGCTCAAATGTTGGCTCCCCCAACCCAGCCAACCACCAAGCAATGTAAACCTCATGTAGAAGAATCCAAGAGTTGGGATTATATTGCCCCGGCGCATACCCCAGCTTGGCTAACATCATCTGCACCCAGGGATGAAACGGTAGTCTGAAGCCATGTTGGTACATATCTATAAAAATCATAACCGAACCTTCCGAAGGATATCTAACCACATCAACTGCAGTGGGTAACCTCAAGCCCACATAAGGTGGAACACTATACTCTGTCCGAAGCTCGGCCAACTTTACTTCTGTAAGTACATTCCGCCTCACCAAAGGGACACCAACCTGTATGTCCACTCCTTCTGAAGCTGAAGCCACGGCTACGCCCACAGACCCTGATGGTGATGCCTGATTGCTCGAGCCCACCTCTGGTATATGAGGCAAGGCCAGAACCCGATCAGTTATAGCTTCTAACACTTTGTAATTCATCTACATCTCTTTATATGTAGCTGACCCAGAGTCTACTGATGGCTCACCTCTCACACCCTCATGCACTACTATCCTACTTTCTATCATACCTTCTACCACACCCTCTGTCTGAGAACTCTCATCTTCAGAACAAACATATTGGCTGGGCTCCTCACTCTCAGTATCTTCCCCACCAAAAGCAGGGGGTTCATGACTTTCTCTATCAGAACTTTCAGACATCTACAATATGCAGAAACAAGGAAAAGGAACTAATGCACATTCCAAAAGGATCGAAAACACATGAACACAAAAAGGATGGCACCCCTACATGCTATTTGATCTAGAAGCATACATTCAATAAGTTCATACCAATGTTCAAAGTGTTCATTATGTTCATACTCATATTCAAGGTGTTCATCCTAGTCTTCAACATGTTCATACAAAAAGGACATTTCAATTCAAAAGTTCAAGGGAAATGAGGTCCAACCTTGTTTGCACCACCACGTTAAGATGCCGGAGCCGAAAATCTCCTTCTCTCCTTCTCATTTTCTAGAAATTTTTCTCTAAAACTCAAGTGTGATGCCTTCGTCACCCCAAGTTCCTATTTATAAAGCCTCAAGGGTACCAAAGCCTCGGTTCACGATAAAACCCTAGCACCCTTTCATCTTCCCTCCCAAATTCCTTGTACCTGCTCCACAATTTGAAATTCAAATTCCAAATTCCAATAAAAATACAAATAAAATTAAAACGAGAAAGGAATCGAAAAGGCCTTGCCGAATGGCAGGCATCGTGGAGAAACAATAGGGAGACTCGCAAAAAGTCTTACCGAAACCCAAGAGCCTAGCCCCACAGCCTTTGCCGAGGTCAATTTTTCACGCCCAAGGCCCAGCAGCCTCACCACTCCCGACATGGAAAAGCCCACCTAGAAGCCCTCTATGCCGTAGCAAGCTTAGCTCCAAGAAGCCCCCTAATGGCAGACTTTTGCCTAGGCCCGAGCCCAGTGTCCAATCTAATATTTTTAGACCCTGCCAAAGACAAAGCACGGAGCCATCGGTTAGAACTAAAATTGCCAAGGGGGAGTCAAATTCACACCGGCCTTGCTGAACCGCAAGGCCCATGCGGAAGGAAAAGCAAGCTTACGAAATGAAGGCTCTCGTTTCTTGCTCCATGGGCCCAGCCCAAAGTCACCGAACCAGCTGCTAATACTACCTAAACCTTGAGGAAGATAGACCAAGTCCAAAGAATTAAACAAGACACCTTTGCCGAACGGCAAGGGTTGTGCAGAAACTAAATGAAGGGTCACCAAAATTACGGCTTCGAGTCCTCCTAGCCCGAGGCTACCGAAGCACGACTAGCTCCAAATCCCTTCCTTCACGACCAACTCGCGAAGCCTAGCCTTGCCGAAGGCCCAGCTCCAATCCCTTATTTCCTTGATGTCACTCAGAGACCCATATCCAACGTCGTTGAGCTGCCGAACGACCATTACCAACCGGAGGCTTGGAAACCCTGTCCAAGAACAATTACCGAAGACCCCAATCCCCAGCTTTACCGAAATAGGCCCTCGAGCAAACCCAGCTCCAAACCAGCCAAAACTTATCACAGCCCGCGTGTACAAAGCTCTCAATACCAGTGGATTCGACAAGGGCCCAGCTCACGTACAATCACCTACTTCTTGCCGAACGGTAGGAGGATATGCTTCCAAATCACTGCAGAAAATCAAGGAGCCTCCTGCTAATGACACGAAAGTGAGGCAAAAAATTTTCAACCCACCCTTGCCGAACGGCAAGGGTTGAGCAAAGGAAAAGGGCCTCAAGAAGAACTTACCGCCACCCTAAACGGTTGTCGAACGGTAAGGGCTGCTCGAAAGGAAACTGGCACCCACGAAAATCCTAATCAAAATTCCTTTTCACAACCTCTGCCGAACGGAACCTCGTGTTCGAAAAGGAAACCTTGCCGAATCTGCCTCCTTCAAGCATAGGTCTTGCCGAGCCCACCCTTCCGGATCAGCCCACCTTTGTACTGAGGGATCATGCGCAACCTACCCCCAAAATATCACTCTTGCCGATCGGCAATGACTATGCTGAAGGTATACGGCGCAGGACATAACCCTCGTTACGGATTTTATACTCAGCCTCTCTTGCAAACCCTAGCCATTATACATGCCAAGGCCTAACTCTTGAGCCCAACTTCCAACACATGCCGAAAGCTCACTCCAAATTTACCCTTGCCTCCCTTATACATGCCAAGGCCCAGCTCTTGAGCCCAACTTCAAACACATGCCGAAAGCTCACTCCAAATTTACCCTTGTTGAACGACAAGGGCCATGCTGAGCGACCTTGGGCCACCTTTTTATCACTGCAACCCCTCATTGTCGAAGCCCAATTCAAGTTCCCTTGCCAAGTCCCCCTTGCAATCTCAACCCCATAGGATCCAGCTCAAAACCCATGCCTAGGCCCTACATGCGCAGCCCAGGCCCGTTTTCGAAACCCGACTTGGTTTGCTTACCGAATGGCAAAGACCATATCGAGGTGCACAAGGATCCCCAAGTGTTAAAAAAAAGAAAAAAAAAGTGAGAAGGCAAGCCTTGCCGAACGGCAAGGTATGCTGACGCAAGAAAGGACACCCAATTCTTCCCTTGTCGAAGCCTAGCTCCCTAAACCCAAGGGCCCGGCTCCAAGGACTTGCCAAAAGCCCAAATGAACACCTAGGTACCCAGCTACCAACGATTCTAGAGGCCCACACAGCTTCCACCATATCTTCCAAATGTTGATGCAACTTCTAGTTTGCCAACTTGGGGGACTAGGGAATGCCCTACGGCTCCCACTGAACCCGGAATGCTCGATCATGATTACACAAAAATCTAACAAGTTCCCGACCCAGAAGTTACTTCTTGACCGCGAACTTGGGGGACTATTATTTACACCATAATCAACCGAGCATATTCAGCATCAAAACGACTAGCACCAAGGCAGACATGCCTTCTCCCCTGCCGAAGGAAGACACTCTTCCAAAGTGCCAGCCACCTGCCGAAGCTCCCGACTGTCGAAGCTCTCAACTGCTGAACCTAATCTCCAAGACAAATGTCACCACCACAGCAATTTGCACAAAGTCCCACATCAAAACTTTGTGCAAACCTCCCACTTTCACTTCCCTATAAATAGGGAACATTACCGAAGTAAAAAGGTAACTTTTCTCTCACTTTTACTGTTACTCTGCCAATTTTATCACTCATAACTGACTTAACCATCGGAGAACCTTCGGTCGGCACCACACTAGTGTCCGAAGCTTAACGACTGCTTCTCCTACTTTCTCTTCTGCAGGCTCCTCCCTTGCTGAAGGTCCTCACCTTCTCCCCTGCTAAAGACTATCCACTTATCTCTAAGTTGACCTCCCAAAAAGAGCATCAATAGTACTTTAATCGCTTCCCACCCACACGCAATCCTCTGATTGCTGCGAAGTTCGTGGAGGTCATCGTCATCTCTCCAACTTCATCAAAGTGGAATGTGTGGGTAGTGTCCCACCATCTCTCAACTAAGGCCACAAGTAATGGCTTATCCCTTTTCTTTCCATGCCTTAATATTGACACAAAGGGCAAAAAGCCAGCTTCTTTGACCTTGGCTTTGACAGTATCGTGCATTGCCTATCCCTTTTCTTTTCATGGCCCAATATTTACCCTAAATATATCGATTTATATATTAACCGAAAACCTGAGTGTCTCCTTTCATGACTGAACTAATTTAAAAAAGTTCTCTTTGTACCAACTAAACCGACTTCTCTATCCAAATTATTAACCCAAAAATTGACACCATAAGCAGCAACTTCCTAAACATATCACTTTCCAAGACAACTCCTAGAAATTTAAGAACTTGCAGACTTACATTACTGCAAAATAGGCAAAGACGATGGGAATTCACCGTCTTGTATTCGGTTTTCAAATCGTCGTGAAATCGACCGACATCTTTTACACAATCAAACGACGACGGTAAATCCCCGTCGTTGTTAAAACAAACAACGTCATTAACAACTAATAACCGACGTCTGCGTATTGAAAAATGAGCTAAAAAAATAGTCAAGGATAAGAATAGATGACCAATTCTAACAAACAAACATCGTTTAAAAGGCAACATATGACATATTTTAACAAAACATGGCTGCAAGAGATACATACAACGACGAGAACTAAAACCCACAGCCGTTAAATATATGTTTCACAACACATACAACTATGACATCTTTAAATAAATAATCGACGACGTTATTGATTCCTACTACGTCACCACAGTTTCTACAACCGTCGTGAAATAAATTTTCCACTTCGATTTTTCCATTAATGATAACATGGAAATAGATGTTAGGGTCATTATTTACGATGCATGTATTTCTACAGACAACGTTGTATTGAATAAACAATGTCGGATCCAAATAAATGAGAGTCATATTACATAATTTATACGTCATCTGAAACAACAACGTTTTTCAGTCGATCGTCGTGTAAAACTATTTTAACGACATGGTCTGAAAATAAACGACATGGTCTGAAAATAAACGACATGGAAAATATGTTAGGGTCATTACTTACGACACATTCATTTATACAGAGGACGTTTTCGTCAATATACAATGTCGTTATTATGTAAAAGACAGTCGTGTTTCAAAATTTATACGTTATCATGTAAAAGACAGCCGTGTTTCAGAATTTATATGTCATCATTACTAAAATTACAATCATCTAATGTCCATGAGACGGCGTAGTTTATCCGATATTCGCCGTGTAAAGTCATTTTAACGACATGAAAAGAGAAGTGGAACATTCATATAACGTTGTTTTTGTAAAGGAACGACGTCCAAATATACCTTTACGTCGACAAATTTACCAATAGATTTCAAATACTGTTGTGAATTAATCCTTTTCCACTTCATTTATGAGAGAACAAGCGACGTGGTAAAATTAAGACGACGATTTTTGATTTGATATGGACGAGTTCATAATCTAAGACGTCGTCTTTTATAACGTTCAGGTTAGATATCTTGTCTTTTGACGTCGGTTATAGGATTGGAGTCGTGTTATTTGGAATTACATGTCGGCTCTTTATGCTTCTCCGATGTGACATCCTTAATAATTGTTTCACAATAGCGTCGTGGTTCTTCATTGTTATGTTGCTTTAAGCGGTCGTTGAATGCTCCAAAACATCGTTTTTTTATGAAATTTTATTAAAACAGACGTATGTTTTTCACATTTTTATCAAGACCGTCGTGTTTGTAATCTTGAACCAGTATTTTTTGTACTGATTGTTTTGTGGCCAAAACCTGAATAATGAAAGTGAAGAAATCACATTACAATATATTACAAAATTAATGTCATACACTGCCATAAGTAATTTCATAAATTACATAGCATCATTCAATCCATATATCTTCACACCCATCTCGAATATTTTGACTCCCAAACTCACCCACCAGTTCATCAAATGTGTCAACATTTGGCATATCTCTAGTAAATGGCTCACACTCAATTCTCACATCACCTAAGACATCATCACCAATAACATCATTATATTCTCTATTAGGCATTGATAACACTACAGAGCAACCACGATGCATCTGGTCGTCAACAAAAAATACTTGTTTGACTTGAGAAGCCAAAACAAATTGGTCATTCCTATGTCCAATTTTACTCAAATCTACAAGGGTAAATCCAAATTCGTCGACTACAAGACCAGAAGTACTATTATCCAATCACACCTAAAGACTGGGATTGTAAACTTTTGGTAGTCAAGGTCCCAAATTTCTTGAATGACACCATAGAAACCCATATTTGAGAGAATTGGGTTTTTATCCTTGGCACTAGCAACTTGCATGGTATGTGCAAGTAAATAAACTCCACTATTTTGAGTTGTCCGCACATCATCTTGTGCCTTGATGTTAAATTTAATACCTTTAATAAGATAGCTCCTATATGATGGCACTGCCATGTTTGGACCAGCTGCTAGCCACCTTAAATTTTCTGATACGCCATGATTGTCTTCCTCATTAAGTTCACTTTGAACCTACAAATTAATCATATCTTAATTCAATCTAACATAGAAAGAAGAAAATTAAAAGTCCAATATGTTATTCAATAACATATACCTTGAAGCGTAGCCATTGAATGAAAGTGCTATTGTGCTTATCTTGCAGCCACTTTGTTCTCTTTCTAAATTTTGGATAAGCGGTCTTGATGTGGATCATATGTTGCCTACATGACACGAAAAATTCAAGCATTACGGTCCCAAACATATAAGATAAACATAAGAAATAATTTAAAATGGAAACTTAAAGAATAAAACTCATACGTACTCGATATAAGGTAGGACTTCCTCCGTATTCTCCAAGACATATAGATGTGCTTGGTTCAACAGGTCCCGATCAACTACGCTCACTGTGCAACCTGATAATGGCTTTGAAACTCCATCTTTTGGCTTGAAGGCACTCCAACTGTACTAACATCAGATAAATGCTCGGTACAAAACTCTACAGCTTCTTCAGCTATATACCGCTCAGCAATGCAACCTTCGGGACGAGTACGATTCTGAACATACCCCTTTAGCACTTTCATATATCTTTCAAACGGATACATCCATCTAAAATATACTGGCCCACACAGACGAACTTCTCTGACAAGATGTATACTAGATGAACCATGATATCAAAGAATGAAGGGGGAAAGTACTTTCTCAAGCAAACACAAAGTAACTACTACATCTTCTTCCAACTTATCTAGCTTGGAAACATCAACAGTCTTTGCACATATAGCATTGAAGAAGAAGCACAAACGAGTTATTGCATACCTTGCAGGCTTCTCCAAAACAGAACGAATTGCCACAGGAGCAATTGTTGCATTAAGGTATGACAATCATGTGATTTAAGGCCAAGAAGTCTTGAATCTTGTAAAGATACAAGATTTTTTATATTTGAAGAATAACCTTCAGGGACCTTCATACCATAGAAAGAATTGCAAACCTCTCTCTTCTCTGCTCTTGACAAATTCCAAGGCCCGGGAGGCAAACGAGTACGTCTTTCTCCATACTCGGGTTGCAAATCATTTTGACCCCCATGTTCAATAAATCTAATCGAGCAGCAATCCCATCTTTATTTTTTCCAGGGATCTCCAGCAATGTACCAATGATACTATCGCAAACATTCTTCTCAATGTGCATAACATCTAGGACATGCCTCACAGGAAGGTATTTCCAATACTCGAGATCAAAGAATATTGATTTCTTCTTCCAACAAACTCTGTCACCATCTTCAACCATATGCAGCACTTCTTCTCCGGTTAATGGCTCGGGAGGCGTGCCATATTCAGGTTTCCCATTAAAAGCTGCACGTTGCCTCCTATATGGATGATTGATTGGTAACCATTTTCTATGCCCAATGTAACAAATTTTGTGGCCATTTTTCAACCTGTGACTAGGTGTATCATCGCCGCATATTGGACAAGCTTTATATCCTTTAACAACACAACCAGATAAGTTTCCATAGGCGGGGAAATCATTAATTGTCCACATTAATGCAGCTCTGAGTGTAAAGTATTCTCCATTATGTGCATCATACACTCCTCTAATCCCATCCCACAAAGATTTTAAATCATCAATCAAAAGGCTCCAAGTAGACGTCTATATCATTTCCGGGTTGTTTAGGACCGAAATCAATAAGGTCAACATCATGAACTTTCGTTTCATGCACAGCCATGGAGGGAGATTATATGTAACTAAGATAACTGGCCAGCAACTATATCTGCTACTTAGAGAACTGTGGGGATTGAATCCATCAGATGAAAGAGCCAATCTCAAGTTTCTCGGCTCATTACCAAACTCGGGCATTTATCATCAAGAAGTTTCCAAGACGGGGAATCCGCCAGATGAGACATTTGACCGTCAATTGATTTTCTAGCAGCATGCCAAGTCAAACTCTTAGCTGTCTCATGTGATCGAAACATCCTTTTAAACCTTGGAATTGGAGGAAAATACCACACCACCTTCGCTGGCACACCCTCTTTCAAGATTGAATCTTTGCCTTCCTTCCACCTTGAGATACCACAAGTAGGACAATTAGTTGAATCTTCATACTCCTTCCTATACAAGATGCAATCATTGGGGCATGCGTGCATTTTCTCATAACTCAGCCCCAATGCACACAAAGTCTTTTTTGCCTCATACATAGAGGCCGGTATTGTATTTCCTTCTGGAAGCAAATCGCCTTGAAGTATCAATAATTCTGTAAAACAGACATCACTCATCCCATGTTTTGCCTTCAAATTATACAACTTCACTAATGCCGATAACTTCGTGTACTTTCTACAACCAGGGTACAATGGTTGATCTCCATCCCCAATCACATTGGCAAACTCATAAGGATCGGATCCAAAATCACCAAAATCATTATCATCCATCTCTATTTCTTCAGACACAAAACTGTACCTACTATGGTCATCATCTTCTTCAACATTTCTACTAGCATTAGTAGTTGCTTCCCAAGGTTCTCCGTGAAATGTCCAATTCTTATAGCTTTTGGTCAACTCCATTAAAGTATAAGTGATCCCTTATAATTCCAACCCCAAACAATTTCAAATTAACACATTTAACACATGGACAACGGATATGTGTTGTAGTTAGAAGATTTTCTACAGAAAAGTTCAAAAATGCTTCCACCCCTAACTCATATGCCTTCGATCTTCTATCCGAGTGCATCCATGACTTATCCATCTCCGACACTATACCCTATTATCTATAATAAAGTGAAAAGACAAGCAATGACCATCACTATAGCAATTATATAAAGTTTTAATAGCAAGTAATATATTATACAGACGACTGTTTTTAAACAAAATAGACGTATTGGACATATATAGACGACGAATTTTCAACAAATGTCGTCTAATGCTAACCACGACGGTAGTTAAAGAAAACCGTCGTGTATAAAATACAGACAACGGTTTGTTAAAAAACCGTCATCGTATGCCTAAAAAAGCGTCGAGATCCCAGTTTACTTTCAAGAACCCAAAACCCTATTAAGAACACAACATATACATTAATTTTTATGTTGGGTATTAAGAACACGTATACTAAGCATGAAACACAACATATACTAAGCATGAAAAAACCACAATAAATCCATTCCCGATTGATCATGAAAACATTAAACAGAAAATCCATGAACCCATACCTCCAACAACATTATTAAAAGATCGCAAAACATATATCTAAAAACACTTTAACAAAACAACTGAATATCATTCAATGAATTTACAAGGGGAAGATAAGGGTTTGTACTTACAGGTAGGCAGAGCTCACAGATTATGGCCTACTTGGATTCGACAGAGCCTGGAGAGCCCAACTTTGAATTAGAGTTGAAGTGAGAGAGCGAAATGTTAAGGGGATTTAGAGCGAAATATGAAAATTTTAGGGTTCAGGGTTACAAGTATAAGACTTAGAGCGAAATCTGAAAATTTTAGGTCGTCACGAAAATTTTTAGAAAGCGCGCTCTTTAAAACATCGACGGAAAAAAAACAACCGTCGTTAAAATTTCACATTAAACATGACGCTTATTACATTAAAGACGTAAAATCAAAAAACCGTCGTCAAAACTAAAAACGAAACTTATGACGCTTATATACACGAAATGTGTCGTGGTACTACTTACTACAACGCAAAAAAAAAAAAAAAAAAAAAAAAAAAAAAAAAAAAAAAACAAACTAATTAAATAAATGTGGTTTTGGTTTTGCTGGGATTCGAACTCGTGCGCGATGGGTTGAATGAACAGAAAATTAAATAAAAAAATATACCCTAAACCCTAAACCCTAATAAAGCAAACACAAATTATATATATTTTTTTAAATAATTTTAGAAAAGGGATTAGGATTTTAGGGCCAAAAATATCTAAACCAAAAAACCTAAACCCCAAAAATATTCCTTTAACCCCCTAAACCCTAAACCCTAAACCATCAAACTATGACTGATATTGTGACTCATCAAATTTTTTTTGTTTTGTTTGTCATTTTAAATTTGTATTACTCAAACTGCATTTTTTCAAGCTTAGGAGGAAGATAATATCTCAATGACTTCATAGGAGTTGACGTTGCATTTTTTGGATTTATTTTAAATTTATTTTGAATATTTTGAATTAAAAATAATAAAATATTCTTATAAACAACAACAAACCACGTCGGCATTAAGAAAATAAAGACGTTGTAAATTGTAATAAACAACTTACTTGTAAAAAGGACGTTGTTTAAAAGCGAAACCATTGCGAAAGTTTCACCAAAACCGACGTAACGTCATTATTCCACGACTTAGACACTGAACTTAACGCCGATTATTTAAAACCAACCACGTCGTCTATTGAACCAATACGTCGTTTGAATAACCTTTTACGTTTTTTTTTAAATCGATGACGTTGTTATTCGTGTACAATGTTATTTTAAAGGAACGCCGGTTTAGAAAGCGCACTTCATAAATCATCGACTGAAAACATAAACACCGTCGTTAAAAAATAATACCCTAAACCCTAAATTATTTATTTTTAAAAAATAATTTTAGAAAAGGGTTTATGGTTTTACGGCCTAATATATAACAACCATAAACCCTAAACCCCAAAAATTATCCTTTAACCCCCTAAACTCTAAACCATAAACCATCAAACTATAAGTGATGTTGTGACTCATCAAAACAATTTTTTTTTTTTGTGGTCATTTTAAATTTGTATTACTCAAACTGCATTTTTTTAAGCTTTAGGGGGAAGAAAATATATCAATGACTTCATAGGAGTTGACGTTGCATTTTTTTTATCTATTTTAAATTTATTTTGAATTAAATAGAATAAAATATTCTTACAAACACCAACAAACCACGTCGGCGTTAAGAAAGTAACGACGTTGTAAATTTTAATAAACAACTTACTTGTAAAAAGGACGTCGTTTAAAAGCGAAACCATGGCGAAATTTTCACTCAAACGACGTCATTTAAACACAACTTAAATGGTTGTCATCGACGTACAAACTGTATATCACGACATAAACTAAAAAGGTGTCGCCGTGTAATTTAATTACCACGTCATCTCTGTCGTCTAAATATCCTTTTACATCGGATTTGTTTCAAACGATGACGTTGTTATTTTTTACAACGTCTGTTTTAATAAATGGAACGTGCATTAAACGTCACCTATACTTGCTTTAGACGTCGTCTGTAATGTACAGCCGTGTTGTTTATTCCTCTCGTTTTATTTTTTTACAAACTTTTGTACTCCATAAGACGACGGTGTTTGATATAATTATGTCGTTGGAACGTTATTGCACATCGGTTACGCAATTTCTTTTTTTTAAATTACGAAAACCTCAACAAATTTTCAGGGAAAAAAATTATGTATATTATAGACAAAATTTGTACAAAAATTTGTCTAATTCTAACAAAATTTGTACAAAAACTTTACTAATTCTAAAAAAATGTGTACATTATATAAAATGTCAAGTGTTCTACAAATCCTCTACTCCATATGAAGGCAAACAAACTCTGCCCATTCTTTCCTGACTTCATCAATGGCTGCTTGGGGGTATGGCGCTTGATCTTTTCCCTTCGCAAACTGCAATCCATAAACAATGATTATTAAGCTTTATAAATAAACAGAAATTCAATCACAGACAACGCTATTTTTCATAACCGACGTAGTATATCGATTCAATGACGGTAATTTTAAAGGACCGTCGTTGATAATACAAAAAACCACATAAAATAAATCTGAAAATTTTCTTCTTACCGTCTTCTCAAACTCTAGGGAAGGATCCATGATGATGTCTCTCATGAAGCGCATGACATAATAGCCGCATTCTACACTGCTTGGTTGCTTTGGTGTGCCTGGTAGAGTTTTCCAAATGGTTGCTTTACGGCCTTGTCTGCCTATGTGTGAATTATATATTTTGATAGCACTGTTCAATATGTTTTTGGCCTCCTCATCAACCACTCGATTTCCGGGCAGAGGATCCAGAAAATAGACAGTTTCCTTCTTTGCTCTCACAATGAACAAGACCTAATGACGACTGCACAAAATTAATATAAAGGTTAAATAGTTTTATACGCATTGCATCATACAAACAAACTCCTGTTAACGAGACTAACCCTGGATTGTAAGGCATCATGAAATCTGTTCACCATCTGTCTTTTGAAGTCGATTTGACAGGACCCCGCCCCCGGAATTTCCCCCGAAACCGGGGCGGACCCCATCTTGGTGCCGACATCTCCCCGATGCCAGGCCTACTTACTAAAAACCCGAGACATCCTACCAAAATTTTGGCAGAGTCTCCCCTGTAAAATGCTCAAACCCAACAACATTCAACCTGCATAATTTACATAATATAAATCTCAACTGCCAGCATGCTTTCAACATACAACAATTCAAACTAAAGTGGCCTCCGGCCTCAAGTAACAACCTAACATGTGCGATAACAGAGCATCTAACAGAATTAGTTCACAACAACAGTTGAGTAGAAGGAATTTACACAAGTCCTATCTAAGGATAGAACGATTTGAGCTCGTACTCTGCTCGAACGCTTCCAAGAGCAACTACTGCCTGGGGGGGCGCAAAACAGAAATATGTGAGTGGACAAAAATAAAGTTTGCATTTAAAACAACATAGTAACCCCACCGTGTAAAAATAATGTTCAAGCATGCAGTTTCACAATCCATAAACCAAATGCTCAAAACATAAAATCTCAAAGTCCAATAACTCTCAAAATCTCAAACCACAACTCCATTCCCAAAAATATGCAACTCTCGCCAACCCATACATATATATATATATATACATAAATATATAACTATAATATAACATATACTTCTCTCCATACTAATGTACCGGGGAAAACAATCCAACCGGGGTATTGTTTGGCTGGTACGCAGGATTTCCAGGTACTAACCCGCGTCCAGGGATGAGTAGTCCAACCGGGGGACGGAACTCCATAGCTCACACGCCGGCACTGCCAACGACACGTGTAGCTCACATATTTCATAACAAGTCCTACGTGCGCAGACAGTATCATCACCCCACTGGCACTGCCAATGACATGTGTGATAATACTAAGCAATATACATACTCTTCCCATACGCCGGCACTGCCAACGACACGTATGGGAAGTGTCTCACACGCCGGCACTGCCAACGACACGTGTGAGACCCACAAACTCATGGCCTTCCCACCCCACCGGCACTACCAACGACATGTGTGGGAAGCCTAGTAACCAGGGAATGGTACTCACCTAACATACTCATACATCTCTCAACCATCCCTCAAACTCATATCTTTCCACAATCTCACAACAACAACTCCTCATACTCTATACATAGGCAATATAGACAGATATCCCAAAATCCATATAAACATATCCATAATACTCAAATATATCCAATAAATATAAGAATTTCCAAATCCATCAATCAAATAATTATTAAATCACATTTACCATTTAAAAACATATGCACAAATCTTTTATCAATAAAACCATGCGAAATGCTTGAAAACAAAGTCCACTCACAGATAATCCCAAGCTGCCCAGCCCCGAGAGGGTCTTGCTTGCTGTGTATGATCAACCGAAGTACCTATTTCGAGATACGAACCCTTTATTAATATAATGCACTTCGAAACGGGAATTCACAAAAGGAAATACTTAAATCCCCAAGTTTCCGATGCGTGTACATCCAATAGGATATCCTAAGGTCCGATTACATGTTTGGGAATCGCTTCTAATCGTAAGGTTATCGCTAATCCCACAAACTTTGAATTATTGAATCGGAACATCCGGGCCTCCGATTCACAATCCGCGAATTCCTACGCACTCGTAACAACCTAAGGATCTCATCGGGACAAAAAGCAACTTTACCAGCCTCGCCATGCGCCGCCATACGCGCTGGCAGCGCGTGGGTGTAGAGAGAAATTTCCGGCAACGGAAAATCTCCACACCAACGCTCACCCTTCCTACCCTAGCTTCTTCTCAAGGCCAGGATCACTTTATTCAACTACCACGAGGTCCAATTCGCACTGGAACTGGCCGGAATTTCATATTGAAAACCGGCCAAAACCTAGATTTCCAATTCGGTTCCCAAACTCAAAATCAATCCAAACCTAAGAAACAGTCAGCTAGAACACGTAAAAAGGAGAAGAAACCTCACCAATTTTACCTGAAACGGACGGCAGAGGCGGTGGCGCAACAATCGGAAACTTCCGGTTCGACCCAGTCGATACCATCGACGATTCTCGGGCTTTCCGGCAAGGAAATTGGGTGGGTCTTGATGACTTCATGACGAGTCGAACGGGACCGGTCTCAAGGGTTAAGGTGGTTGGACGTGGCAGTTGGGTGGCGGTTTCCGTCTCGGTGAACAGTGACACGGGGGGAGGTTTTTACGCAGAGGGGAAAATCGAGAGAGAGAGAGTGTGGAGTAAAAGTGAAAAATCTGATTTTTACTCAAACTTACTTTGAAATAATTACGGTAGCGCCACCGAACCTAATTTGCTCACCAAAACTTCATTACAACTCCGATTCAAGCCTATCGCATGTCTACGAATTCGTCTCAGTACCACCTACGCAACCAAACCATTCGTGGTCCCAAAATCTTCCCGGATAAGAAAATGACCAAAATTACCCTTAACCCAAGGCTAAATTCATAATTCTCTTAATTTGATTAAAATAGGAATAAATTTGGAGTCGGGGTGTTATAATCTACCCCCCTTATAAAAATTTCGTCCCCGAAATTCACGTACCTGTCAACGGAAGAGATAAGGGTACTTGGCCCGCATCTGCTCTTCTGTTTCCCAAGTCGCTTCTTCCACATTTTGGCTTCTCCACAACACTTTCACTACAAGAATGGATCTAGAACGCAACCTTTGTTCTTTCCTATCCAAGATCTTACTGGTTGCTCCTCATACGACAAATATTCTTCTAACTCCACAGGTTGATATTCTAATACATGAGAAGGGTCTGGCATGTATTTCCGGAGCATGGATACATGGAATACATCATGAACTCGAGATAGCTCTGGGGATAACGCAAGTCTATAGGCAACAGGTCCAATTCGCTTCGTGATCTCATAGGGTCTAATGTAACGAGGGCTTAACTTTCCACATTTCCCAAATCTCATCACACCCTTCCAAGGAGATAATTTCAGGAACACCTAATCCCCAACTGCAAACTCAAGATCCTTAGATCTGTTATCCGCATAACTCTTCTATCGGTCTTGTGCAGTTTTCAACTTCTCTTTTATCATCTTCACCTTCTCATTTGTTGCTCGGATACTATCCACTTTTTCCAGTTTCTTGTCACCCAATTCATTCCAACAAATAGGAGTCCTGCACTGCCTCCCATACAACGCCTCATAAGGAGCCATCCCAATACTTGAATGATAACTGTTATTATAGCAAACTCCACCAAGGCAAGGTGAACATCCCATGCATCCTTAAACTGTAACACACAGGACCTCAACATGTCCTCTAGAGTCTGGATAGTCCTTTCCGATTGTCCATCGGTTTGTGGGTGAAAAGCGGTACTGAACTGCAATCTAATACCCATAGCTTCTCGTAAACACTTCCAGAATTGAGAAGTGAACCTAGGATCCCTGTCCGATACAATGGACACAGGTGCTCCATGCAATCTCACAATCTCATCCACAAAAAGTTTTGCCAACTTTGTCAAAGGATAGGTCTCCTTAATGGGTAGAAAATGGGTAGACTTGGTGAGTCTATCCACTATCACCCAAATTTCATCATGACCCTTTGAAGTACGTGGAAGCTTGAAAACAAAATCCATGGCAATACGCTCCCACTTCCATTCAGGAATCGGAAGTGGTTGCATGAGTCCCGATGGCTTATGTCGCTCTGCCTTCACTTGTTGACAAATCAAGCATCTACTCACATACTTAGAAATGTCCCCCTTCATATGCGGCCATGAGTAATACGCCCGTAGCGTCCGATACATCTTCGTGCTACCCGGATGCATAGTGTAAGTGGAACAGTGAGCTTCCTCCATGATTTCTCTTTTCAATTCAGCATTCTTACTAGGTACACATAGACGAGCTCCTTTTACCAAGGCTCCGTCTCCCCTTTTGGCATAATACTTCCGTGTTCCATTTTCTACTTCTCCCCTTATCCTACAGAGTGTAGGATCTCCCAACTGGCCTGCAATTACTCGCTCCACCATAATGGGTCTCACATGCAAGCTTGCAAGGATTCCACCCTGTTGAGTCATCTCCATTTCTACTCCATCCTTCCGTAGTTCCACTAACAACGGAAGATAGGCCGTCCTGATGTGAGCTAAGTTTGCAGTAGTCTTCCTACTCAGTGCATCGGCAACCATATTAGCTCAGCCTGGGTGATACTCAATCGTGCAATCATAGTCCTTGATCAATTCCAGCCAACGCCGTTGTCTCATATTCAGCTCCTTCTGAGTGAAGAAATACTTAAGGCTCTTGTGATCAGTGAAAATCTAACACGTCTCACAATACAAGTAATGCCGCCAAATCTTCAAAGCAAACACCACTGCAGCAAGTTCCAAATCATGGACTGGATAATTCTGTTCGTGCTTCTTGAGTTGCCTCTAGGCATAAGCAATCACCCGATCATGTTGCATCAGAACACATCCCAATCCTTGCAAAAATGCATCACTATAGATCACAAAGTCCCCTGAGTTATCAGGAAGAGCCAAAACAGGTGCTGTGGTTAACCGCTTCTTCAACTCCTGAAAACTCTATTCGCACTCCTCCGTCCACTCAAATGTAATGTCTTTCCTTGTCAACCTCGTGAGAGGTGCTGCTATCGAAGAGAACCCTTCTACAAATCGACAGTAGTAGCCTGCTAACCCCAGAAAACTCCGTACTTCCGTCACACTTGTGGGTTGTACCCAATTCACAATAGCTTCAACTTTCTGCGGATCCACATAAATCCCTTCCGTTGAGATTACATGTCCAAGGAATACCACTCTATCCAACCAAAACTGACACTTGCTAAATTTGGCATAAAGCTGCTTCCTCCTTAAAGTCCTCAGTACCAACCTTAGATGCTTCTTATGCCCTTCCAAAGTCTTGGAGTAAACCAAGATGTCATCTATGAACACAATCACAAAGTGATCCAAGTATGGTCGGAACACTCTGTTCATGAGATCCATAAACTCTGCTGGAGCATTCGTCAGTCCAAACGGCATCACTAGAAATTCATAATGACCATACCGCGTTCTGAATGCGGTCTTGGGAACATCCTCTTCTCTAATCCTCAACTGATGGTACCCTGATCTCAGATCAATCTTAGAGAAGTACTTAGCATCCTTCAACTGATCGAACAAATCATCAATCCGAGGCAAAGGATACCGGTTACGTATTGTCACCTTATTCAACTGCCGATAATCAATACATAACCTCATGGTCCCATCCTTCTTTCTCACAAACAACACCGGTGCACCCCATGGAGAAACACAAGGTTGGATGAATCTCATATCCACTAATTCCTGCAACTGAGTCTTCAACTCCCGGAGCTCAGCTGGTGCCATCCTATAAGGAGTTAGATAGATAGGATTGGTGCCTGGAAGAAGTTCGATAGTGAACTCGATTTCCCTTTCAAGAGGTAACCCAGGAAGATCATTTGGAAAGACATCTGGGAACTCGCTAACAACGAGGATATCTTCCAGATTCAAGGTGATCTCTTGAGTGTCAATGATATGAGCTAAGAATCCTTCACACCCTTTCTTGAGTAACCTCTTGGCTGTAATAGCAGAGATAAGACAGGTAGGGAGGACTCCACATTCTCCCCGGAAAACAACTTTGGGGTTGTCCTGGACTCCGAATTGTTACTTCCTTTCGGAAACAATCCACTGACGCATGATGCTTCTCTAGCCAATCCATCCCCAAAATAATATCCAAATCTACCAATTCTAAAGGAATCAAATTGGCTTCCAACCACACATCGTCTACTTGGACATAACATTCTCTGAACACCCGGTCTGCATACAAGACTTCCCCCGTGGGTAGAGAAATACTAAAACTTTCTGTCATGGGTGTCAGTCTCACACTGACATAAGATACGAAGTTGTGTGCTACGAAAGAATGTGTGGCCCCGGGTCAATTAAAACACGAGTAAGATAACCAAAAATAGGAATCATACCAGTAATCACATCTGGAGTGGCATATGCCTCCTGCTGGGTCATGGAGAACACCCTAGCCTGTGTGGTAGAACGCCCAGGCTGACCCCTTGTATTCCTACCACCCCTACCCCTAGAAGACGACGGTGCCCTGCTACTGGATGATCCTGTTGCAGAGGAAGTAGCACCATTTTGACTCTGGTGCTGACCCATATTACCATGCCCCTGTTGGGCTCCAGTCCCCTGCACTGCTGTATCACTAGGGTAGATCAGTGGGCAGCTCCTCTTGGTATGCCCCGCCTGCCCACAAAAGTAGCATGTTGGGTCATTGCTCTGGCCTTGTTTACCTCCCTGAGTGAAACTAGGGCAATCCTTCGCAAAGTGCCCCACCTTCCCACAACTGAACCATGTCAACCCAGTCTGCCTGGAAGGAGTCCTAGCTGTGCTAGATGTAGGATGCTGCTCCGAATACTGAGTCCATGCTGGACGAGAACCGGATCTCCCACTACCAGAACTAGATCCCCGTCCACCTGACCATCCGCCACTAGCAGAGCTAGAACTAGATCCCTCTCTCTTGGATGGGCCCTGACTCGGACCACCCAATCCTTGTGCATCTCTGCAGCGCCTACCTGTACCCATAGCACATCTCCTAGACACCCTGTCAGCAGCCTGAGCCAAAACCCTCATGTTGGGATAAGTGTTGGCAATGACCACAGCCTGAATCTCTCACCACAAACCGCCTTCAAAGCGCCTGCACCTATCCTCTTTAGTAGCCACTAACTCTGGTGCAAACCTTGACAGTTCATTAAACTTATGTTCATACTCTGCCACCAACATTGACCCCTGTTTCAGATATAGGAACTCTGACTTCTTAGCATACCGGTAAGAAGGTGGATAAAATTGGTCGGAGAAGACCCTCTGGAATTCCTCCCAAGTAATAGCAGCTGGATCCTCATAGCCCCTTTTTGCGGCTTTCCACCAGTGATAAGCATTTCCTTTTAGCATAAAGGTAGCCAAACGGACTCTATCTCCAATTGGGCACTCCAGCACCTCAAAGATCCGCTCCACATCAGAAATCCAACACTCGACCTCTGCTGGGTCTGGGCCACCCATGAACTCTTTTGTAACCAGTTCCTTCACCCTTTTTATTGCAGAACTTTTTGTACTACGCCTCCCTCGCAAAGCTGTAGTCATCGTGCGTGTGAATTGGCTTAGCAGGTGGTGATGGTGGAGGAGACGGAACTGGTGGTGAATGAGGTGGTGATGGAGATGGTGGCGGAGATGGAGGTGGCGGGTTTGGTCCCCACCTCCGACCACGGCCCCTTGTTCTTGCTTTACGAGTTGACATGGTTCTACACAAAGAAAACATAAATCATTAGTATCAACAATGCAGCAAAAGTGCAAAAGTCGAAGGAAAATGAACCTAATGCTCTGATACCAAGCTGACAGGACCCGCCCCGAAATTTCCCCCGAAACCGGGGCGGACTCCGTCTTGGTGCCGACATCTCCCCAATGCCGGGCCCACTTACTAAAAACCCGAGACATCCTACCAAAATTTTGGCAGAATCTCCCCTGTAAAATGCTCAAACCCAATAACATTCAACCTGCATAATTTACATAATATAAATCACAACTGCCAGCATGCTTTCAACATACAACAATCCAAACTAAAGTGGCCTCCGGCCTCAAGTAACAACCTAACATGGGCGATAACAAAGCATCTAATAGAATTAGTTTACAACAAACAGTTGAGTAGAAGGAATTTACACAAGTCCTATCTACAGATGAGCTCGAACACTTCCAAGAGCAACTACTGCCTGGGGGGTCGCAAAACAGAAATATGTGAGTGGACAAAAATAAAGTTTGCATTTAAAACAACATAGTAACCCCACCATGCAAAAATAATGCTCAAGCATGCAGTTTCACAATCCATAAAATCTCAAGTCCAATAACTCTCAAAATCTCAAACACAACTCCATTCCCAAAAATATGCAACTCTCGCCAACCCATACACACATATATATATATATATAAAAATATACAACTATAATATAACATGTACTTCTCTACATACTAATGTACCGGGGAAAACAATCTAACCAGGGGATTGTTTGGCTGGTACGCAGGATTTCCAGGTACTAACCCGCATCCAGGGATGAGTAGTCCAACCGGGGGACGGAACTCCATAGCTCACACGCCGGCACTGCCAACGACACGTGTAGCTCACAAATCTCATAACAAGTCCTACGCGCGCAAACAGTATCATCACCCCACCGGCACTGCCAACGACATGTGTGATAATACTAAGCAATATACATACTCTTCCCATACACCGGCACTGTCAACGACACGTATGGGAAGTGTCTCACACACCGGCACTGCCAACGACACGTGTGAGACCCACAAACTCATGGCCTTCCCACCCCACCGGCACTGCCAACGACGTGTGGGAAGCCTAGTAACCAGGGAATGGTACTCACCTAACATACTCATACATATCTCAACCATCCCTCAAACTCAAATCTTTCCACAATCTCACAACAACTCCTCATACTCTATACATAGGCAATATAGACAGATATCCCAAAATCCATATAAACATATCCATAATACTCAAATATATCCAATAAATATAAGAATGTCCGAATCCATCAATCAAATAATTATTAAATCACATTTACCATTTAAAAACATATGCACAAATCTTTTATCAATAAAACCATGCGAATGCTTGAAAACAAAGTCCACTCACAGATAATCCCAAGCTGCCCAGCCTCGAGAGGGTCCTGCCTGCTGTGTATGATCAACCGAAGTACCTATTTCGAGATACGAACCCTTGATTAATATAATGCACTTTGAAACGGGAATTCACAAAAGGAAATACTTAAATCCCCAAGTTCCCGATGCGTGTACATCCAATAGGATATCCTAAGGTCCGATTACAGGTTTGGGAATCGCTTCTAATCGTACGGTTATCGCTAATCCCACAAACTTTGAATTATTGAATCGGAACATCCGGGGCTCCGATTCACAATCCGGGAATTCCTACGCACTCGTAACAACCTAAGGATCTCATTGGGACAAAAAGCAACTTCACCAGCCTTGCCACGCGCCGCCATACGCGCTGGCAGCACGTGGGTGTGTAGAGAAATTTCCGGCAACGGAAAATCTCCACACCAACGCTCACCCTTCCTACCCTAGCTTCTTCTCAAGGCCAGGATCACTTTATTCAACTACCACGAGGTCCAATTCGCACTAGAACTGGCCGGAATTTCATATTGAAAACTGGCCAAAACCTAGATTTCCAATTCGGTTCCCAAACTCAAAATCAATCCAAACCTAAGCAATAGTCAGCTAGAACACGTAAAAAGGAGAAGAAACCTCACCAATTTTACCTGAAACGGACGGCGGAGGCGGCGGCGCAACAATCGGAAACTTCCGGTTCGAACCAGTCGATACCGTCGACGATTCTCGGGCTTTCCGGCAAGGAAATTGGGTGGGTCTTGATGACTTCATGACGAGTTGAACGGGACCGGTCTCGAGGGTTAAGGTGGTCGAACGTGGCGGCTGGGTGGCGGTTTCCGTCTCGGTGAACAGTGACACGGGGGGAGGTTTTTATGCAGAGGGGAAAATCGAGAGAGAGAGCGAGAGAGAGAGAGAGAGAGAGAGAGAGAGAGAGAGAGAGAGAGAGAGAGAGAGTGAGTGTGGAGTAAAAGTGAAAAATCTGATTTTACTCGAACTTACTTTGAAATAATTACGGTAGCGCCACCGAACCTAATTTGCTCGCCAAAACTTCATTACAACTCTGATTCAAGCCTACCACATGTCTACAGATTCGTCTCAATACCACCTACGCAACCAAACCATTCGTGGTCCCAAAATCTTCCCGGATAAGAAAATGACCAAAATTACCCTTAACCCAAGGGTAAATTCATAATTCTCTTAATTTAATTAAAATAGGAATAAACTTGGAGTCGGGGTGTTACACGATTGGCTACCAAATGTGATCTCTCAGTTAATGACCCAGCATTGGCACTAACTTGAGCAGGGTCGATAAAGCCAACCATGTTCAACATATTTGCAGCTTTCAAATTATCAAATAGGCACCTAAATATATATATGAAATGATCACATGACTTCTTTTTTTCAACAGAAAGGAGTGTGAAATAAATATTTTTTTTTCAACATGAAATAAGTCGATAAAATTATATTTTACGTTGTTGTACATGTATTTAAGATGGCGGTATTTTGTAATATACCGCCGTGGATTCTTTTGAAATTATGCGACGCCGGATACGAAAACTTGGTCGTGGTTATTTTGGAGAAAAGACAGCAGCTGTTTCTTTAAACCGTCGTCTTTACTTTCCACGTCGGTGGATTCATACCTTCTGCCGTTGTTTGTTGGTTCCAAGTTTACTCTGTAGAAAACCTTTTTCAATAAGACGTCGCTTTTTAAAATAGGTGTGTCGTGTTTTAAAAACAACCATTGGATTCCCCATTTTTAAGGTGTTCAAGTGTCTTTTCAAACACAACGACGATTTTCCGTTAAATCGTCGTTTTTTCTGGTCGTCTTTTTCACTTTTTGTAGTAGTGATATAACAAGCAAATTGCTATAGACCTTTTGTTTGTTTTTTTGTCAGAAATGCTATAGACCTCACGACGAGCAGACGAGAATAAGAAAGATATTGGTGAACCAAAAATTAATTCAAAACATTCACAGAATAAGAAAAACATACACTAATCATTTGAGCAAATAAAATAAAGGTTGAAAGTAAATACCTGATTTTCCGAAACCACCCATTCCAAAAATCTTGTGCGCCCTGATGCAAGTATATCTTCTATGAGCGGTAGTTTGAGGTTCTTATTTGCATATATAACAGCAAATCCCTTTGAAATGGTAAACATGATCACTCTAAATATGATGATCCTCCCAAGAATCTTTTCTGACCCACTGAAATTGATAAAACAAATATGAAATCAATATTTTATTCTTCCTTTTGGTCATAAATGTTGCTGTCAAACTAAAAATTAAAGAAAAATTTACCTGACTTTTCTTTCTCTGTTTAGACTTTGGCTGCTTGACGTATGTATGAGGCTGAGGTGAAGCTTCTTTTTCCTTCCTAATTTTATGGCCAAAAAATCACCAAAGAAGTAGAGAGTTCGAAGTCGATGATGAAAATTGATGGGTGTAAAATATGTGGCTTTTTGTTTATATAGCTGAAGTTGTGTGACTTTATTTTTTCGTTTTTCTATTTCTTTCTTTTTTTAACTTTTAGAAACTAAATAGTGATTAGGGAGTCACGTGCTCTCTATTTTTACTTCGTTATCTGTCAGTTATTTTTTTTGTTTTTAGTCTGAAAAACTATGCACTTGCTGAAACCCAAAGGTAGGTAGCAATTCAAATGCTAAACCCAAAGAAATGCACCAGTCTCTAGGCTTGGCTTTTACCAAAAAGTTGAAGACACCAGTCAATTGGCTATCACTTTTTCAATCCTGCTCTGTTGATAAGATTTGAAAAAAGATTCTGTAATGTTCCAAGCACGAGAAAGTTTCTTGATAACATATTAAAGGGTACAATCTTCCAGTTCATTTCAATTCTAATTTTTTTGTAAAAAACTAGTATGATATTAGAATTAAGAATAATAAGACATAAACTGCAGTAAAAGCAGAGACAATTCACTTTGAAAAGTGAAACGTCAAAAGAAACAACTCACTTGATATCTGAAACATGCAAAGCCAAAATTGATGCGAATGAGTGAGAATCAATGTAGTGTTGAAACACCTGGGCTTCGACAAATGGGCCAATATTATTAACCAAAACAACCAGAAACCAAACCACCCAAACCCCAATTATATATCTTTTATTTTATTGGTGGGCCTGTGAACCTGTGGGCTGGGCTTTGATGGGCAGGCCGGGTTGGGCTTCCGTAGGCTCAAATGGGTCGGGCTTCTGAGTCGGGCTGGTTTTAGACACCTTTGCCTAAGTCTAGCCCACTAAAAGATGGGCTGAGCTTTTCCTCAATGGGCTAGGTAGGTCCTCATCAGTTTATGGGGTCGTGGGCCAAATGATGACCCTTAATTGAATGAAGATAATAAAATAGTGTTATTCCCGTCGCATGCAACTTCTTATTTAATTTCTTAGGCCTCTCCATTTTAGCATGAAAAGCCACAATTACAAGACAAGATTATTGTACACATAAAAAAAAATTACAATATAAAGGTAGAAGCGGTAAACAAAAACTTTCTCACACTAGATGTCCTTTTTGGTCAATAGAAAGATGAGAATAACCTATTCAAGTTGAATTGTCGTGCAATTGAGTCATTCTCTATTACAGTGCCCATAATTCATATTATCATGGAATGGATACTTTTGTCAAACCTTAATATGAATTTTCCACTTATATGATTACATTGGTTATATCTAGAAACTTTCTTTCTAGTCATATCTACTCTGCAAAGATTCCCTCTATCATATCTTTAGAGCATTCCTTATTACGAGTATAGATCCTTTGTTGTATATTCACTTGCCTCTATGAACTTATTGAGAATCTTGAAGACCACCTTTTGAATCATATATGTTGACACGAATGTATAGGGATTTCGAAGATAGACGCCCACAAGACAACTATGATGTCTCATGTCTGAGAACTAGTTTGCACTATTGCAACTTATGAGTTTTAGTTTGACATGGGAGTAAGACCCTCATCCTAAAATTCGTGGTTTGATCGTGTTCAATTTACTTATCTCACTAAGCACCTACGCACTTATCTTAGTTTCTCTATACGCAATGACTTGAGACTAGTCATTAGCGGATATAGTGTGTACCACTCTTTGCGGATGATCAAGGATATAGTGTGTACCACTCTTTGCGGATGATCAATTCCCAATTAATAACCCTATGACTGGGAACATTTAGGAAATAATGTGGAAGTATGAGAGGTCTCCTTATATCCAATCTCATTGCATAGCTCTCACAATATTTCATATTCCAATGATTGTTCTTTTACTATTATGATTATAGACCAAATATCATGGTTGAAAACAACAATCTTGCCCATAAGTGATGATGAAATATCCAAAAAGAAATATCACATGTTCAAATTTAGGGCATATTTTTTTAACATTATAGTCATCATGCAATAATTATTGGGCTTGTTTTCGAACATTGCTTGACCATGCTAATATTTTATGAGTTGAACATACATGTTTATCATGTGTATAGTTTTAACATTTTATACTTCTATTTGTAGTAAATAATTATTTAATTTACTTTCAAATCTGTTCAAGGTGTCCCCTTGATGCGGCCTTACTACTTGTCAATGTTAGAAATATGCCTTAGAAGCGAATACGAAAATGAAACTTCTAAGGACATAACACTTCACAAATATAATTAATACAGTACAAAAGCCACTTTAGTAAACTTATGCATAACCAATAAAGTGACAAGTCTATGGATTACGACACAAATAGAAACCAATCTAAAGATATAAGATTCACAAGAATTTTCCATTATGATGTATTTCATCCTAAAATGTTCCTAGTCATAGGATCACCAATTAAGAAATGATGATCCGCAAAGACTAGTACACACTGTGTCTGCTCAATCGGGAGGATGACTAGTCTCAAATCATTCGTGTAGAAACATTGAGACAATCAATAAAGATAGAGTTCACTGAACATGTTGAATTCTCGTATGGAAGTTTTACTCACAAGTGTCAAACAAGTAATTTTAAGTTGTGATAATGCAAATTAGTCCTCAGACCTGAGACATCACAGTTGTCTTATGGACGAGTTGTTTATCTTTGAGAACACTATACGGTTGTATTGAAAGATGTGGCTCGAAGGTGATCATCGGGATATTCAATATGCTCACAGAGACATGTGAATGTACAACAATAAATCTTTGCTCTTAGTAAAGAAAGAGAATACTCTAGAGATATAATTCGTTACATTTTTTGCCAAAGTATCATATATGATTGCAAAAGGGAAGTTTTCAATCTCATCCACATGAATTATATAACCTAGAAATGTCACATTAGGGATTTGACACAAGTTATATGTATCCCAATAATGTGACATAGAGTATTATTTTAGAGAATGGCTAGATTGCATTGCAATTACAACTGAATAGGTTCTCCAATGAATTTTATTTAGCTTGTGTAGTCATGACATACTAATAAGTGTTAGTCATGGTTTGTAGAAGTCCTGTAAGATCTAATTACAATTAGGCTTCATGCTTAGTTCAGGAGGAATTAGACTTATCCACTATCTCGGTAGTTAGAACCTAAAAGATTGCACACCACAAAATGAATGGATTTAGAAACAAAAGAGAGAAAGATTTTACTCCTTTGTCAAAGTCAAAGGTCAACCGTGGACCCGACACTTGACATGACCAACAAGAATTGACCGGAACCAATACTTGTAAGGCAAGGTTATGACTTAACGGATTAAGTCATTAAATTAATGAGAATAGTTTAATTAAACAATTAAAGTTATAGAACTTAGTTGGGTCCCAC